CAATATATATTATTTAATTTTTCATTGTGTTTCAAAACAAAGTGCTTAATGAATATTGTTTTGTGTTAGTTGTAGATCTCCTATAAACAAAAAAGATTTTTGATAAACTAAAACTTAGTTTTAACAGGGGAATTAAGATGTTGTGGAGTTGAGTGAATTTTGCTTTTTTTGTGTGTTATTTTTAAAACTCATTTTTAATCATTTTTTTTATAAATTTTACAAAAATGACATGATTACAAATGAGTTCATTATTTTTTTCTACCTTCCTAGCTCCTGTCATCCTTCCAAGCATTGGAGAAATTCCAAATAATAGTGGGCAGGGAGCCCAGGGAGCCCAACCAGCCTCTAAGGCCAAACCAACATTGGCCATGTCGAGGTGGAAAAAAATAACTGGCACAGCCTTGTTCATTAATCGGCTGGGTAAGCGAGGAACTATAATGCATCTTTAGCTAGTTCAGCATGATAAATAGATCTAGTTTAGGGAAGAAAAGTTTTATACTTAAAGGGACTGTCTGCGTAATTTCAAGTGAGCTTACAATTAAAGAGTAAAATGCCAGATTCATACAATTGGCACCCTTTAAACCTTTATCTGAGTAACGATGAGGAAATTATCTCATATCTCCATTTTTTTGCTCATACAAAGGTTTTTAAAGTTGCCTTTTGAATAAGGCAAACACCTTTTTAAATTGAAGTCAGCCTACAGTTGAAGAATAAAATGGTAGATTCATACAATGGCACACTTTAAACCCAGACCAAAATATATTATATGTACTCTACAGAGGTTTCGTTCATCACCAGCATCGAATTAAAAATCCTTTAAATCTTAATTTGAGTAACGATGAGGAAGATATTATTTCATATCTACATCATTTTTGCACATAAAAAGTTTTTTTAAGTTAGCTTTTTGATTCAAGTAAACATCTTTTTAAATGGGTAGACACTTGAAATTACGGCATTTAAACCTTTCTGAGCTTACAAAGCATGTAAAACCATTTTGGGGACGTTTATACATGCAGGAGTTAAAAAATATGATTATTTCAAATTTAAAAAAAATGATCTAAAAAAAACAAAAATATAATTACGATCATCAATCAGACAAGTTTTAAAAAAATAAAAAGCTTTGTTTTATTTTGTTGACTTGTTCACTTTATTTATTCTTTAAAAAACAGCATGATTTACAATTTTAAAATTTTATCTCTTTTTTAATATTTTTTTTTCTATCAGTTGGTTTTCGTTAATTATTCTGAAGGCTATGCGTAGTTAAATCTTAAAAAATAGAAACGTGGTCCAGGGAAAGAAAAAACTATATTGGGAAACTGCTGAATATAGCAGAAAATTGATGTTAGGGCAGAACCATAGAATTCTTTTATTAACATAGGTATTTTTGTTGTCAAGATAGGGATTAAAGGGGGAATTGATTTTTAAGGTATTTAAAGAAGAAAAAATGACAAAATAACTTTCGACGTTTATGAAACCCATGCCATTTGAGATTAGGAGGTTGGAGGTTATGGTTATAGATTCATGCTATTTTAAAGCTAAAACATCTTGGATCTAAAATAATAATGGATAGCTCAATGCCAATCTGAAAGACTATTTATCTATATTTGCATCATTATTTGATAAATGTTTATTTGATTCAATTACACTGCATGAACAAGTACAGATAGTTTTCTCACTAATTCAAATCTTTAAATTATAAAATTCATAAAAATATTTTCAAATTTTACTGTTAGGTACTTAATTTTTGCAACCACTACATATATCTTGGCTGTGCAGATGCGAAATTTATGACATTTGAGACCGAAGTTAATAATTTAGAGAGATCGCTGAACTACTTACAGCTGGTTCAAATTCTGATCTCCTATTCCTTATGAATCTTCTACTTTGAATTGCTGATTCAAAAATTTGAACCGGCGCGACGGGAGATAGTTCAGCGACCTAACTCAAATTTATTACATTCCATTTATACCACTGCAGTGCATCATGCCAACGTACAATGTGCTAATCCATAAAATTGTACTCAACAGCACATTATATCAATGCTTTACAACTTTTCTATGGAATACACCCACAAAGGGTTTTTGACTGTACAGTGTACAAGGAATAATTTGGTACATGTTCTACGCCGAGTGCGCGAAGCTCCTTTGGACTGCTGCCTCAGGGTTATTGTAAACGAGTTTCATTGAAATCTTGAAAAGACGACATCTAGTGTCCTATCTGTTATTTTGATTAATCTATGGAGATAAAAATCAAAGAATATCTAGACGGGTTCTTTTGTTTACATTATGCGGTACAACATAAAAGGAAAGCTCTATTTAAAGGGACTGTCATCGTACTTTTCAGTGTTCCATTGAAAAACAGGGTATGTTCGACTTACAACGATACCTTTGACCTTAATCTGATCAATAACATGGAAAATAATTCTAGTCTTTAGTGCTACAATTGCATACGTCAGTTTTGCAGAGAACCCACAAATAATAGTAAACATTTTTAAAAATCAAAAACATAGATATCTTATTTATACTTAGTCAGGCAAAGCTTATAGGGGTACTGTTGTGAATCAGACATGACACTATCAATGGAGGCTAACTTAAAAATTTGTTTTTGTTTTCGATAAAACTTGTTTCTGAGCTGTAATTACACACGCAAATTGAATATTTAAACAACCATTTAAGTTGGCCAGTTCAACAAAGAGGCATGGATAACATTTTATAAATGTATTCACACTCTACAGACAAAATAGAATAGGGTGAATAATTATCCATTGCCCTTTCCATTCATCACATTTAGAACAAATCTTATTTTTTATTCCCTTTTTTTCCTGCAAAGCTGGGTTTCTGATAAATTGTATGAATCTTTGAAATGAGAAATACCATGTTTCTTTAAATAGGAAATGTCGGGGTTTTAAGCGTTAATTTTTACTTTATTAATGTTACTTATTTGACCCAGAAAATGTCTTCACAACCCCTTCACTATCAAAAGGACCAATACTTTTTTAATGTATAAATAATTCTTCAATAAGGACAAATCGCATTGGTCTTTATTTCAACTTGAATTAAAGCAAAAACATCATGCTAATGACAATGGAGGCATGAATTCTTGTTATGGATAATTGTGCACCCTGCCAGATTATAATTTAGATAGATTTTTTCATAGTAGCGAAATGGCATCAAACAATGCTTTTAAGTATTTTTTTTATTATTATTATTATTACTATTGGTATTTGTGCATCTTCTATATTTTTGTCTTGTGAAGTTTAGTCTATTTTTCCCTTTTTAGCACTTCAAAGACAAGATTCTATAACATCTAAACGGAAGATTTCTTCAGTATCAAGTGAGGTATCAGAACAAGAACCTCAGGAGGAGACTCCATCAGTTCCAGGTAGTTTTTTTTACTCATACAACCTGGAGCAGATTCAAAATTGTATGATATGATCTTTTACTCATACAACCTGTAGCAGATGCTAAATTTTATGATTTTTTATTCATACAACTAGTGGCAGATGGAAAATTTTATGGTATTTTAATTAACACAACTAGTAGGAGATGCAAAATTGTATGCTCTTTTATTCATACAACCAGTAGCAGATGCAAAATTGTATGGTACTTGACTAATACCACTTGTAGCCGATGAAAAATGTTATGGTCTTTTATTCATACAAACAGAAGCCGATGCAAAATTTTATGGTATTTGATTAAAACAATCTGTAGCAGATGAAACATTTTTTATGTCTTTTATTCGTGCAACCAGTAGCAGATGCAACATTTTTTGGCGTCTGTACTTTTTTTTTAAAAGAAATGGAGTCTTTGTCACACATTAAAAATTTTTAATCTGTATATCTTTCGACTCGATAGTGTAAACCTTTGATATTTCAAACTTTGATGTTTTGATCTAACAGATTCTAGTTTGTAATACGTCGCAAAGATATATAGGGCTTAGAAAATCAGAGTTTGTGGCAAAGACTCAACGTCTTTGTTTACCAAAAAATAACTAGACACGCTGGAATTTTATAAGTTGATCGCGCCGAAAATTCTTTACTTTTTCAATAAAATTAACAACAAAAAATCAATTATTCAAAGGATTTTTCTTATTTTGAATTGGTCATAAGAAATTTATTTGTGTGTTATAAAACTTTATTTTAAAAAAATGACAAAAATCTGATGCGAGTTTTTTGTGACTTTTTAATCTCAGTGCCAGCAGCTGCTGTTGCTGCTCCAACTATTCCAGCTGCTGCAGCAGCCCCAATTGCTTCAGCTACTCCTACACTTGAAGCTGAAAAGGATCAGGTTGAAAGTCCTACTCTTCACATAGAGGATGCTTCAGAGGTTAGAGTTTTCAATAAGAATGAGGAGGTATGAAATGACCATTAAAGGGGGTCAATTTTACAGTTGCACTTTTCTCACTCGTGACAGGAATGGACTTGTTTATACAAGCAATATTAAAATTTAGAAAAGACTTTATACAGATTAAAATTATCAAACGGAAACCGGTTTTTCTGAATTTTAAAGTCGAAAAATTTACTATAGCAAGTTAAAAATAAATTTCTTCAAAATGCATCGAATTGGGTATCAAAAGATCCATGTTGAAACACTGAAATCAGAAACGTTTAAAATCAGTTAAAAGTTAAACATGTTTTGGACAAAAAAGTCTGATTTGAGCCGAAAATTAGGCCAACATCCCAACAAAAATTCTTTTTTTGGTCCTAGATCAAACAATTTTAAAGATGTGGAAAACGAAAACAAATGGACAGTATTTAGCGGAATCTTACGCATCCTTGACACCCATATGAGCATATTTTGAAGAAAAAACATTTTTTTACAAATGTCATTTTTGATTTTTTTCCCACCCAAAGTCATTTTCGCATGGCAAGTTTAATTTTACAGAAAAACTTTCTTCTTAATGTTGTTCAGATTGACCTTACACCCATCCATAACCAGTTGACAATATTGAGATTTCGAAAAATATAAAATCAACCCTCCTTATTGACCAAGGAATTATAAATTGACCAAGGAGGTATAAATTGACCAAGGAGGTATAAATTGACCAAGGAGGTATAAATTGACCAAGGAGGTATAAATTGACCAAGGAGGTAAAAATGACTAAGGAGGTTTAAATTGAGCATTGGATGCAATAAAAAAGATCAAGTGATTTATTGATTGGCAAAGAATTATAAAATAAAATAAACAGAAATGCAATTTTTTGGGCTCAAATTGTAAAAAAAAAGTTTTTTAATAACTTTTAATTAATTTTTGATTAATAATTTTACATTGTTTTAGGAGGATATTCAATTGGAGGTTCATTTACCCTGGTTAAAAACTGTTATTGAAATTACTAAAAATATAAACCTCTCCTGTACTCACCAAGGTAGAGTATTATTATAAGATCTGAGCTGAAAACTTTAGAATGGGATATCATTAATCCCAATCGGTTAATTAATCTGGAGATTAATAACATATTGAGAACAAGCCTTATTTGATCCCGAGATTAAGAAAAAGGATGGATCAAGCATTAATCCTGATATTCAACATTCAAAAGTACTCAGCTCTGTAGACGTCATTTTCCGTGAATCTCCATTTGAATAGTTGCATGTCAGATTCACAAATCACAATGAATCTAACTTTAATCCAGGTTTGTCTAAAACTTGTTTTTTTAATCCGGTTATTCATAAAAATGATTTGTGAGTCTAAAATGCAGAAAAAAGTAAATTAAAAAAGTGAAATTATATCTGTTCAATCCGATATTGGGCTGAAAGGAACCATTTTGATTCGAATATTTGCTTTAACAGTCCCTTAGATATAGAAATTTGTACAAAAGAGAAATTCCCTTTATTGGAAATTAAATTATAAAATTTTACTAAAAATATTTTGGCAAAGATTGTCATTTTGGTGGCGTGATTTCTACCAGTATTTAATAATGGTTATATATAAACATTGAAATATAAAGATGGACGATGTTTGGGCATTCAAAATTCGTCAATACTAAACAAGTGATCATAAGACCATATTGTGTACGTATACAACCCTCAGTATATTGGGTATGTAAGCGTAATTTAAAGTATTCTTTTATTTAAATAGACAATTTCCCGATTTACAACGGTACCCTTGAATCTTTACTGGTCAAAGATGACAGACATTTTCTTATTTATCTACTGCCAGACCTGATTGTAGTTTTTTAACACTTTGTTTGCAAGCTGTTTTGTATTTAAGGAATATTAATATTTATATTGAAATTTTGAAAACCGCATTGGACAAAGGGTACTGTTGTGAATTGGGGATATCACTCTTTAAATAAAATGTCACTTGAAATATCGTCCCTTTGATGTCCTTATTGTACCAGGTTTTTGTCAGCAAAACTGTGTCAGAAGATTGTCCCGAAGCTGTAAAAAATTAATGGAAGCAATGAAGTATTTATACGGAGAGGAATTAGAATTCATAGAAGACATATTTATGGAGAGTAATTCTACTGAAAATGAGATGAAAAAGGTATTTTTTATACTGTTGTTAAACCAGATTTAAAGTTATACGGTCTTTGTTAATTTGATCCCAGTTAACTTGCAAAAACAATTATTTTTTTATTTCTTTAAGTTTGAACGATCCAATTCGCTCGTCCATCGTTCATTAACGAAAACGATGCCTAGCTCAAGAGCCAACGTATGTAACAAATTGACTGTGTAGTTGTATCCCGTGGGTGACATAGACGAAAAAATCTGATTTTAAAAAATAATAAAATGTTTTTTTTTAAATATGGGAAACACCAGGTGCTCCAGCTAGTTAAAATATTATAAAAACAATACTAAAATATATAAACATAGGGTAAATGGACGAGATGGAGTGAGAGCGCCAGTACTTCTCCGGACCAACGTAAAGAGTCATCTTACAGGTAACAAGGCACTTCTTGGTTGAATAAATTTGTCCTTTTTCCAAAATTTAACTCTTATATTCAAGGCACTCCAATCATAGACATAGACAAAATACGTGAACCCGTATCTTCCCTTTTTTTGGTTTTTTTATTAGAAGCAAGCTTGTTGGTTGCATATTAGAAATTCAAAACTTCTGATTGAACTTATGATTGAAAACGAGTTAGATCAATCATAAGTTAAATTCAATTTCGCGTTCATGGTGTCAAAAAGGTTCTAAAAGATAATCTTCATTTTTCAAGAATGAATTTACTAAAATATTTACTATACAGACCAAGGTGTGTATACTAAAGGTGGGTGAGGGGTCTGTGTACACATTTGATCGACTCGATAAGAACCGCTAAAAAAGTTGTAAACAAATGTTGGAATTTGTCTTTGCAGGGAAAGAAGGCCAGACTTGTTTACTAACTGTAGTTTAGTTTATTATTGCGTTGCTTTAATTGTTTACTATCTGTACTGTACATGTAATTTATGTTCTAGTAATTTACATGAGCCAGGTAAAACTACCCACAACGAAGTGCATCCTGTAATTATCGAAAAATTGTCGGTCATATATTGATCTCTCATTTAATATCCGTAAAAAAACGTAAGATACCGTAACTATACTTAAATATTTAAAAGTACAACATAGTAAATACGAAAAACATTGGACGAATGGAAATGGGTTTTAAAAGGTTAAATTAAAACCAAAGGAATTTTAACGGTGGATGGGTCATAAAGAGTCAAAGTAAAATGTAAACAACCTCTATCCCCAGTACCTTGAATACACACCTTGCTTCAGAGTGTTTAAGTTTTCAGTGACCGAAATTAATGAATTTTAGCTAGGCCGCGGAACTACCTATACCGTCAATTCCGATACTTATCTTTAGTTTTGCAGTTATGTATTTGAATCGACAGTATGTAGTTTAGCGGACTAGCTCAAATTTATCAAATTCAGTCTCAGATTTGTTTTAAAACACATTTTGTAATGAAAGATGTAATTAACAATTAAATTAGGGCGTTTTTATATTAATAATTGTATTTTTGTAGAAGAGAGACATCTAAGGATACTATTGATTCTGAACCTACAGAGAAGAGAGATAGGATTGCAGATAGTGCAAATCAGCTTCCCTTGGATATTCAACCTAATCCAGGATTTCTCAAATATCTTCAACTCAAGGTTAAATTTTTTTTCTCCTATTGTTTCAGCCGTTAACTCTCTTTTGTGTCTAAGATCGCAGCTTCGAAACCTTTAAAGAATTGAGTTTTTATCCAAAAAAAAACAATAAACACGCTAATGATAATACATCGTGTTCTACTACCTGATTACCTGACTACGTTCTTTTAATAAACAACATTAAATACAAGCAAAATTGATTTAATGTCGTCTTTCTATTCCTCAATTTTATGGGTCCCACTTAACTTTGTCATTATACAAGAACCTGGAACGTTAGTATGAACTTAAAAGAACTATAATTTTGTTTTCTAAGAGGGGCATGTCCGATACACAACGGTACCCTGTAAATCTTTGTCTTAGCAAAAATGATGGAGTTATCCTTTTCGTTCTTTCTACAAATTGATCACTTTCGATTGCGGTTTCTCTATAAAGTAACTTGCTGATTTCTAGCTACAGACAGATTAGAAACAATGTAGGAAATTCCAAGACTTAAACCCATATATTCAAATTTTGAAAAACAACAATATCTTCCACATTATTGATTAGGTAAAAGTTAAAAGGGCACCATTATGGCTACATGTGCCATAGTCCTCTTGAAATGGAGGGTCCATTGAAATGGTTCCTTGAGATAAATTTGATACAATTTTTTTAGGTTTGTGGACTAATGCATGCTCCTCTCTCTACTCTGAACAAAGCATCTTGTGTTATGGATGAAGAAAGCTTGAAGAGTATAACTCTTACTGCCTGGTCTTTACTCATGTAAGCTAGACTCAGACAATATTATTTTTTATTAAACAAATATCTGACATGTTCTGATAACATATTTCATTTTCACCTCCTCATTAAAAATTAAAAAGAATATGGACAAAAAAATTATTTTGTTTATTTTTCAACCATTAAAGGGACTGTAATCGCAATTTTAAGCGACCATCTTTGCAAAGATGGCAATACCCGATTCACAACAGTTACCTTAACATCTGATGAACATGATCAATATGAATTAGATATCAATGTTTATAATTTTTATAACTGATAATTTTCAATTGTGGTTTCTCTTTGATGACTATCAAAAATGAATTATCAGAATTAAATTCAATCACAGAAAAACGACAATATCTTCCACAATTTCTATCAGATAAAGGTTTTAAAGGTATTGATGTAAAAGGGACATTGGCATGTTTGCATGAAAGGTTATATAAAATTACGCTTACAATTCTTTTAAATTTGATTTTTTAAAAGTTATATTTTTTCTTGTAGGGATCCAGATGTTGATGTGTCTGGAGCAGCGACTGCAATTATTATTGTTGCATCAGTTAAAAGTCCGGATAATATTCAGGAAAAAATACAACAAAAATACAACAAAAATACATCCTAAATACAAACAAAATTAAAAACATAATTACAAACTAAAATACAAACAAACAAAAAAAACAAAAAAAAACAAAAATACAAACAAAAATTCAAAAAATTAACAAAATCTCTGAAATAAATGTGTGTATTAAATTTTTTTTTATTTATTTCTTAGGCAAAGCTTAACCCATGGGTATTGTGATACTGGCAATCAAATAGATTATCAAGTAAAATAGGTGGCAACAGAAAAATAAACCAATTATACACGATGACGTCACAGGTATCAAATATAACAAGGAAAACGAAATTTTCTCACGTTAGTTGACATATCTTCCAACCGTAAATTAAAAAAGGGTAAAAACAGAAAATAAAGAACTATTATAACTATTATAGATAATTTTGTCGGACACAAAAACTAAGTTGACACTTGTGACGTAAGAATACAGCTGTACTGAGAGTATACAAATTCTACTTTGCCATCTATTGTACTAGAATCTATTTGCTGGCATTTAACTTTTTAAATGAAGATGGAGTTACTGAAATTACCGTTGAGAGACCCTTTAGACTGTATTTTTGTATGATTTAACAGACCTTGTTTTCTGGTGATTTGAACAATCCTATTGCTGATACAAGAATAAACGGTATACTCAAGGTTCAGACACTCTGGCAAAACAGGTTTAATAACTTTAAATAATAAAAGGAAAAGAATTGAGAATCCCCCCTCCCCATTTGTTTAAAGATCTGGGGGAAAAATGAAAAATTGAAAATTGTAATGAAAAGTGAATAGACAAGGAAATATATTCAATGTTTGTAAAAAAGGTTTAATAACTTTAAATAAATATAACAGTATGTTTAGCTCTATACTTATATATTTATATTTATTTATTTATATCTATATAGCTGTAAAAACGACTGAAACAAATTTGCTGACGTTTTTTTTTTACAAAATTAGAATTTTTTTCTTCGACGGGCAACGCTGGCCAGTTCATTTAGTTATAAATATTACATAAATATAAAATTCATGCAATTAAAAACAATATGATAAAGTTAAAAGAACATTAAGTTAAGTGGAGGATCTAAAATGTGAATTCTAGATACCAGATTTGGTCGAGGTTAGAGGAGAACGGACATATCAACATGAAAATACTTCCTTCACAAATAGAATTTACACTGCCAAGTCCAAAGGTAAAAAACAAAAGATTTTTATTTCTAGTTAAAAAACATTATTTATGTTTAGATTGGTATTGAAACTTTACCTTTGGTTGAACCTGCCTGGATGCCCAAAACCAAAACTAAGGTTAGAACTGTTTGCTCAGATTGTTTTACTTTGAGATCAGATCAACAAGTTGAATTTATTTTATTTATATAAGCAAACTAAAGTAAAATGTTCGTAGGATTAAAAGATTAAATGTTTTCTATCATAAGTCCTTTAGTTGCTGAGCTATTGAGAAGAACAAAAATGTTTTGAATTTGTGTTATAAAGCAAAGAAATATATTTACATAATATGCGTATATTGAATACTAGAGGAGCTACAAGGTTGAAAAGTATTTAATTAGGAAGGTTTTGAAATAATTAGTATTTTTACAATTTAAGCAAATATAACAAAACATGCTTTTAGGGCGCTTCGCGCACATCTTCTTTTTCAATTGTGAACATTTTCTCTTTGCATGCATTGTAAAATTAATAAAAAAAATGTTCACGGATTTTATAAAAAAAATCGTGGAATTTCAAAATTTAATGAAAATTTTAATTTTGTTGGAGGCATAATTTGATCATCTTTATACCGTCCCTGGGAACTTGTGAAGTCCCACAAAAAATTTGGTCCGGTCGGTTCAGCCGTTTTAACGTTTATTGGATACAAACAAACAAACAAACAAACAGACAAGCAAAGTATATAGTATAAATAGTTTAGCTTACATTTTCTGCAAATAAAACAAATTTATTTTTGTTCTAGTTTGAGAATATAGATATGAGAAGGAGAGGGCAGGTAATTTAACAGTTTTCAACAAAAAACTTAAAGAGGCTGATGCCTTAATATCAAGTGACTCTCAACCTTTAAATTGGCTTGCTGTGAACTTTAAAACAGGACTCTTTTACTCGCATACAGAAAAAATGAGGCATCCTTATTTTTCTAGCTGTAAATTTATTATTTTAAATGTGGTTTTCTGTAAAAGTGACTCTTGAATTTCTGTTGCCAAAAAAATGAAGGAAATTAACAGAATTCAAAACATTTTCAGATAGGACGATATCTTCGTTATTGTTACTGAGGAAGAGGTTTAAAGTGTACTGTTGAGAATTAAGTATGCTCAACTTGAACTGAAGAGTCACATAATATTACGTCTACAATCCCACGAAAGGATGCAAATTAGATTATCTATTAATAATCAAGACATATGAATTTATCATTATAAACATCCACATTGTAAATATACGCATTTAAGAAAATGAACTATGATAATTATTCAGACAATTATTTCTGCGACCAAGTCTCGAAAGAAGCAGCAGACTGAGTTGGTGCGAAGCGTCCTGTACGCTGAGGCAGATAAGAAGAGGAAGGAGAGAGAAAGTCTTCAAATAACAGCTGTTCCTGTGGCACTCTGTGCTGCTCAGGTAAATAAACAGCTGTTTTGGTAGCACTCTGTATTGCTCAAGAAAATGAACTGCTGTTCCTGTAGCACTCTGTACTATTCAGGTAAATAAATAGCTGTTCCTGTAACACTCTGTGCTGCTCAAGTAAATAAACAGCTCTTCCTGTAGCACTCTGCTGTTAAAGTACATTAACAGCTCATCCTGTTACAATTTGGGCTGCTCAGGGAAATACACAGCTGTTACTGTAGCACTCTGTGCTGCTAAGGTAAATAAGCAGCTCTTTCTGTAGCACTCTGTGCTGCTCAGGTAGATTAACAGCTATTCAGGTAGCACTCTGTGCTGTTCAAGTAAATAAACAACTGTTCCTGTTCCACTCTGTGCTGCTCAGGTAAATGAGTAGCTGTTCTTGTAGCATTCTGTGTTGCTCAGGTAAATGATTAGCTATTCCTTTAGCACTCTGTGCTGCTCAGGTAAATAAACAGCTGTTCCTGTAGCACTCTGTGCTGGATAGGTAAATAAACAGCTGTTCATGTAGCACTTTGTGCTGGTTTTATGTTTCTGGTTTGGCATGTAAACTTTATTTTCTATTTCTATTTTACTGTAGTTTATCAAGGCATGAAACTCTTTCATCTTTATCTATCTATCTATCTTTATCTCCATCTATCTGTCTATCTATCTATCTATCTGCCTGCATGGACGGCTGCGGAAATTTTAATGAAAGTTCAAACTGAATATTCCTGGATTAGTATTCAACTGTTGCCCACTATTTCCATCTAAATCATTTCTTTGTTTTTCAATTATGTAAATTCTCAACACTCACAAGACCCCAGGGGAGGTTTATGGCCATAGGAACTAGGGTCAGATACAGGATTTAAGTGAGGGGGGTGATAAATTTGTTTCGAAAAAATAACATCCAGATTTAGGAACCAAAAGCTACACGGCGCAGGCGAAAAATGTTTTCGACTTAAAAGACTCAAAAAGAGATAAAATAAATGACTGAAGACTAAAAAACTAGATCTTTAACTTATCACACATTATAGTTTATTAAGATAGATATTTTTCCTGTTTTGCATTAGGTTTTCTTTCCCTTAAGTGCTATTGAGAAGCTATTCTGAAAATAGGAATAACAAATTCCAAAAATGGAATAAAAACATCAAGATGCGAAGTGAATTTTTTTCTTCTGAAAAAAAAATCACAAATTTGACTGGTACTGATGATTCAATTAAATTAAATTTCATTAAATAATCAAAAAAACTTTAAAAAAGAAATACACATACGATATATCAAATTGGGAACATTTTTTGTTTCCAATTGCACATACCTTGATGGATTTTTAGCGAAACCTTCCTAATATGCCACTCCTACAAACCCTTATCCTCATCTTCACTCTCCTTTCCCTACCATCTAACCTTCTCACAAGCAGCGAAATGAGATTCGAGTACATTTCTCTGTTGGATCCAACAGCAAAATTACCTCTGATTGTTGCACTTGATTATACTTCATTGAATAACAACCCTCCTTGTACAGGAAAGTATAAATGTGCGGTTCATAGCAGGGAAACTATTGCTCCCTCGCTGAAAATAGAAACTAACTTGAAGTGCAGGAGTGGTAACCCAGCACCTGCAAGTAGACAAATTGTTCAGCGCTGAGGCTGCAATTAAAATTAACCAAAACAAAACAAAAACGGAGATGGGGACATCTATACATTGAAAGGGGGATAGTACACTGTCTTAAAATGTCGCAAAGACAGCGACTTGTAAACATACTTTCAAAAGCAGCGCCATAAATGGACGGGCAAAGGGAGGCAGGAAAAAGAGAAACTGCGGACGAGCAGATGGAGAAAGGAGAAAAAGATGAACATTTGAAATTGATAACTATGCCTCGTACCATTTTATTTTACAAGAATTATAAAAAATAAATTATAAAAACATTGTTAAAAATAAGAAGAAGGGGCTTTAAAACAACATTTGAAAGCTTTTTTTTTAGAAAAATGGTCACACTGCGCCTTTAAAGCCTTGTTAGACACTTATAATTACATTACCAAGAAATCTAAAGGATATATTTGAAATTTCTAGTCCTTTGAATTTCTAGTCCTTAGAATTATAATTTATAAATAAATGAAGACAGAAATATGTTTCAGGAGCCCAGTCTCTTCCTCTCACCACCAGATGCTGAGTCAGATCAAGGTGGGAAAATAATTTATCATCTGAAAAAAGAAAAAAAAATTTACTGTATTTTTTGCAGATAGCATAACAGATGAACTAACTGGGCTTAATTCATTGAAATGGAAAAACTGCAAAAAAAATATCATGTATTTTATTTAATTTTGGTTCAAAATGAGCTTTAGAGGATGATGATAGGAACCCTAGTTTAAACTTTACTAATCTAGAAGTTTCTTTGTATTATGCTGCAGGCCATACAAGGACAAGGAAAAGAATTACAAGGACAAGGATAACAAGGATAAGAATAACAAGGACAAGTATAACAAGGAGAAGGATAACAAGGAAAAGGGTAGCGAGGATAACAAGGACAAGAATAAGAAGGACAAGGATAACAAGGACAAGGATAACAAGGACAAGGATGACAAGGATATCAAGGACAAGGATTTCAAGGACAAGGATCACTATGACAAGAATAACAAGGACATGGATAACGAGGACAAGGATAACAAGGACAATTATGGCAAAGATGGCAAGGACAATCATAATATTGGCTAGGATTTGATTTGAGTGAAATATTTGTTTAGACTCTGATACGGAGCGTGAAGGTGCTCCAGTTCGTCCTGTTCAATCCCAATCCACTGTAGCACAACCTCTCCTTCCCTCCACTGTATGTGCAGGTAGTCCTATCCAGTGTTCTTAGTCAATGATTGGGGGAGTGTCCGGGATAGGAAACCAACGGATTATTATGGCCGCGATTTTAAAGTGATAGCGGGCGCTGTGGCTAGATTACGATAGGAGTCGCTATGACTATAGGGCAGGAGAGGTGGCGCTGTGGCTAGGAAACGATAGGGGCACCGTAGCTAGGAAACAAACGGGGGTGCTGTGGATAGGATACAATAGGGGTCAAATGCTGCGGATAGAAAACGATGGGGTTGGTCATTGCAGCTTGACAAATTCAAAACTTTTGATTGGAAACTATACATTTGTTTATGACAAGTATAAATATTTATTCTAATATCTTTGACATTAATTCATCTTTGCATAATCTATGGTTGCTTCCACAAATTGAATACAATCTGTTTCTAATTATCATATTATATATTCAATTATAATTAATTCTATTAAGCATTTGCTGAGATAATTATGATGCTTGATGATCATGGAGTTTCCACGGATGGCATTGCAGTTTATGAAGTAGCGTATCAAGTAAGTTTATTTGTCTTTAATTTAATTTTTTCTTAATTATCACAAACTTGTATTTCGTGAGTCGTATTTTATTTCAAAGATCTTTTTCTCTTTTTTTTCATGCATTTCAATTATGTTAAAATGAATAAATTGATTTTAATGTAAACTTCAGTGTTAGTTTCCAAATTGTGGTTGCTGGTTTGGATTATATAGTGAACCACAAATTGGCAGGATTCTTCAAACTTTGCAGACGTACTCATACATCATGTTTTTAATGGGTTTTATAATTTATTTGGAACCTTCACACCCCCTTCATATATATAGAGATTGTTCAGATGGTATCATAGATTTTTTTTCAATGATCTAAGGTCAACATTGTTTTAAAATCTTTATATCAACAGTGACAACTTTTGAATTTTTAGAATCATGTGCTTAATTAATAATTCCTTATATCTCAGAATATCCAAGAGGAATTTATTTAATCCTTCGGACACCGAATTACTGCTTGATCCTATGGTTCAAAAACAAAATTTATGACGTCTGATCTTTTCCTTAGAGTATCTGGTCTTTTCCTTATAGATAATCCGATCTTTTCCCTAGATAATCTGGTCGTTTCCTTACAGATAATCTAATCTTTTCCCTTAATAGCCTGATCTTTTCCTTAGATAATCTGATCTTTTCCCTAGATAATCTGGTCTTTTCTCTATAGATAATCTGTTCCTTTCCCACGATAGTCTGATCTTTTCCCTAGATAGCCTGTCTGATCTTTTTCTTAGATAATCTTTTCTTTTCTCTAGATAATCTGGTCTTTTCTGTAGATAATCTGATCTTTTTCCTAGATAATCTGGTCTTTCTTGGTGGAGGACTGCAACCTCTTCCTTAAGTATTTCATGGAGAAGCTGACAAGGAACGGACAGGAGGAGACATTTCAGATTATCAGGAGTCTTATCAGGTAATCAGGATTTTAGTAGGAGTTTATTTGGAGTTTATCAGTAGTTTATCACAAGTTTTTCAGGAGTTTATCATGAGTTTATCAGAGTTCAATCATCAGAAGTTTATCGGAGTTCATAATGAGTTTATCACGAGTTTATCACAAGTTTATTCCGAGTTTATCACAAGTTTATCACGAGTTTATCACAAGTTTACCATGAGTTTATCACAAGTTTATCAAGAGTTTATAACGAGTTTATCACAAGTTTAAAAGTTTAACAGAGTTTGACAGAAGTTTAAGTTAATCATGAGTTTATCACGAGTTCATCACAAGTTTATCACAAGTTCATAAGAGTTTAACAGAAGTTTAGCATGAGCTTATCATGAGTTTATCATGAGTTTATCATGAGGTTATCCTGAGTTTTACGAGTTTATTCCAAGCAAACAAAATCAAGAAAATGGGAAAATTTATTTGTTTCCTATAAAAATGCCATCACAAAATTACAAAATAAAAATAAATATTCTTAAAATTTATAATTTTGTTAGGTTTATACCAAAACTACCACAACAGGCGGCTTTTTCTCTCTACAATTACCTAATTGGTGAGTTATCTAACTTTATATTGTATACAGCAACTATTATTCTATTAGAAGATGTTTATCAATGGGTTATGACATAGGCTGAAATAGAAATAGATTTCGTATTCAAATGATGTGAAATGTTCTTTTAAAGGACTTTTAATGTTCTTGTAAATGATATGTTTTTATATAGGATCTAATACAATTTTTTAATCGGATATATGGAATCATTGTATTAATTTTATTGTCATGTTCTTCCGAAATATTTAAATATATTTTGTTTGTCTGTTTGTATCCAATAAACGACAAAACAGCTAAACCAATATGTTCTAACTGTTTTGTAGTAAGTAACAGGGAATCCATATTATCGAAATTTTAAACAAATTTCTTCTAGTAGTTTCGACTTTAAATCGTTTTTTTGAAATCCTTCAATGAAATCCGTGATAATTTACAATGTTATTTCTTTTTTCCACTGAAAAAAATTGTTGCAATTAATGTAACGTTGAAAAAAAATACTATTGTAAAATATATAATGTTCTTTTCTAGGATATATCATGTTCTTTTCTAGGATATATCATGTTCTTTTCTAGGATATATCATGTTCTTTTTTTCTAGGATACATCATTTTATTTTCTATTATATATAATGTTCTTTTCTAAGATTTATTATGTTCTTTAACATAATGTTCTTTTCTGGGATGTATAATGTTCTTTTTTAGGATATATCAAGTTCTTTTCTAGGATAAATTCTGTTATTTTCTAGGATAAATCATGTTCTTTTCTAGGATAAATCATGTTCTTTTCTAGAATATATAATGTTTTTCTCTAGGATATATAATGTTCTTTTCTGGGATATATAATGTTCTTTTTTAGGATATATCATGTTCTTTTCTTGGATAAATCCTGTTATTTTCTAGGATAAATCATGTTCTTTTCTAGGATATATCATGTTCTTTGTCCGGACTCCACGTGAGAACGGGGAGGATATGATAGGTTCAGCGCTATCTCTTCTTTGGATGGTTGTACATTCAGTCCAAGGCACTTATATATCTTACAAGAAAAAATAACAAAAAAATGACCTCAAAATCTAAATTTGCAACCCATTATATATCTTTGCAATACAAATGTTTGATGTAAACTTAAACTATTTGATCTTGCGGAAGTCATTGTTTGAAATATTAAAGGTTTACGACATTAGGTTGGAAATGGATTAGAAAATGAGAACGTGTGTGTTTACTAGAACATATTCAAGCAATTTAAATCTTGATTATTACTTACACCCCAGATATTCAGATTTTCCGAAGGAATGAGAAATAAATTGAAAATATAATATTTCCCCCTTATTTAGCCTGGTTTGGGAAAGGGTTCCATCTATTGAGCAGAAATAAACTAAAAACTGTTTTGATAAAATAATAAGTTCAGGACAGTTGAGTAGTAAACATCTCTCTGTAAGAGTGTTTTAGGCAGTTTACACACTGCTTTCTCAATTCAAGGCTTTCACACAACTTTAAAGTACATTCATAGAATTCTGGAAGATTCTATATATAATCTGGCTTTCGCCAATCTTGTGGCGAAAATGGGGCCAAAACCCAAAAAAATGCAAAGTAAGGTTTAGCACTTGACAAAAATCCGATTCAGGAATAAAGATGTATATTCAAGTGAGCCTCTATTTAAAGCGGTATGTCTGATTCACAACGATATGGTACTTGTAAAAGCTTACTTTACCAAAGTAGCTTGTATCGGAATTAAACACTTTTCAAGGAATGGAAAACAACGATATCTTCCATCTTGTTGATCAAAGTAAGGTTTTAAGGGAACCGTGGTTAATCGAATATGGAGGTTTACTTTAAATTACAAAAGTCAAAAAAAAGATTAAGGAAAATTTCGTTAAATAAAGTGATTAATTAAAAACGAACATTAATTGATAGGTTTTCGATACGTTACTTTTACAAACATCCGGATTAAAAGTTTTTTGGAAAATTCGTTAACGAAAGGAAAAGCGATTAATAAGAAATAACTTTAATTAATGGATTACCGTTCACGTTTAATTTACTTACCGTTAACGTAATTAAAAAGTACGTGCTATAATGTGCCTTCTGTCGATGGGGGGGGGGGGGAGAGTTGAAGTTTCTTTTACTTAGAAGGATATCTCTGCACTGATCGTTTTCTCTTTATCGCTAATTCGAGTATTAAATGTTTAATCAAGTACTCTCTGATATTTTTGAATTTTTTAACTTGATTATTCGCTTATTACATTTTATTAAACTTTTGTGGTGTTGTTGACACTTTCATTTGAGTAAAACTTATTATCGGACTGAAAAAATAGGTTTTTTATGAATGAAAATAGTTTTTAAATTTTTTAATGAATAGAAAAGGAAAAGGGGGACTCGAAGACTCCAGCTTATCTTTTTTAAATTAAATTAACAGTTAGATATCATATAATGTATATGTATATATATATACATATACATATACATATACATATACATATACATATAAAAAAAAACCGATTCTGAAAACGTATCCACCACCAAAGTAGGAATTTTGAATGTCGAATTTGCGCTCATACTCGGGATTTACAGATCTTTAACAAGTTTTACATGTCTCAAATGAATCCTAAAAAAGCTTTCCACAACGCTGCATACTCAGTTCAACTTATACCTTACACAGCCGGTCTGTCCCTTTTAATTTAATGTTTATGTAATTGCTTAAATGAATAATTAATGATCTGATAAATTGGTTAATTAATTGAGTCTTTAATTGAGGAACTAATTGATTAATTAATTCTCTAATGATGCATAACCTAAAAAGGAGATTGGGGAATAGGGCGATATACGAATTTGAAGTACTGTAGCTTTTAGAATTAATATTGGTACGACTTTGTGAATCTCGTATTTTATTTACTTTTTAGTTCCTGCTTCAAAACAAATAATAGTTCATAGAAAACTTTCAAAGATTTCGAACCTTTTTTATATCTTCAAAAACGGTAGATGCAATGAATTGAATGCTTTTTAGATATGCATCTATTCTCATACAGGTTAATGCAGCTATTCTTATAAAGGTTGATGCATCTATTCATATACAGGTTGATGCATCTATGTTTATACAGGTTGATGCATCTCTTCTTATATAGGTTGATGCATCTATTCTTATAAAGGTTGATGCATCTATTCTTATACAGGTTGATCCATCTTTTCTTATATACAGGTTGATGCATCTCTTCTTATGCAGGTTGATGCATCTATTCTTATACAGGTTGATGCATCTATTCTTATAACTGCAAACGTTCCCTCAGCCAAGAAAATTGTTGTTCATGGACCACAGGTAATAAACTACTTACAGTAAACACAGTGCATACAGTTCATCCAGTTCACACAGTTTTAACAGTACTACAAACAGTACACATATTACACAAAGTACACACGGTACACACTGTATACAAAGTATACACACAGTACATGCAGAACACAAAGTACATGTGAAACACATTGTAGATACGATACTGTACAATGTACATACATACACAGTACGCACATGTACACAGCACGCGGATGTAACAGTTCGGTCTTTATTTCAGAGAATTGTGACTTTCTGTCACAATTTGACCTTTTAGACATAATGTTTTTGTTGCTGTACGAAAAAGTAAAAAAGGCCCCGTAAGTTTAAAGAAATTGTTGAATTTAAGACCAACACATGATAAACCGAATGCATCTCGCCCTGGTTAGTCCGGGGTGACAGTACATATAATGAGTACAGTAGATACTAGATAGCAAGGATGTAAGGCAAGGAAAGTCATTTCAGAAGTGTACACATCTTTAGTACTGCAGTGTACTGTCTCTGGGCGCTAATGTAAACACAAGACGGATGTCGAAGCCTGACATGGGATCCATAGGTGTGGAAGAAAAATGTACACCACATGTTCCAATCCAACCAGATTTAATAAATATTTTTGAAATTTTACATTTTTGGGAAAAAGGTAGAATTGATTTTTAGTACAGTGAAACCCATAATAACGAATACATCGGAAGAATTTATCAAATGTCGTCTTGACAATTTTTCAATGAGTTTTATACTTTATTACGTAAATTTCATTATTTGCGAAAATAAATAAATAGCCATGAATATGCGCCCGCGGGAACAGTTTTAAAGAGATCCAAATAATCATTTAATTAAAAAAAAAAACTAAAAATATGCAACATTCCATTATCAGAAAGTGAAGAATAAGACATTTGATGAATTCTTTCGATGTATTCGTTATTAAGGGTTTCACTGTACAAGAGGTGAAGCTTCTGAAGAGATGTTAGTTTTCTCAGACTCAATCTAAATAATCGAGATGAAGTGGAAGTTTGTAATTTATCATTAAAACTTTCATAATAATCTCATCACGTGCTCAAGCTCAATTTTTCTTTTAAAGCAATTGATCTAGTTGCAAATAATGTATTACTCAAAAAGAACAACATTACCGACCCATGATTCTCCAAACAGCGGGATTTCTAGATACTTAATTGTCCCTTGGGACATTATTATGAAATAAAATTTTATTAGCTAATAACTTCCCTGCGATGAAGTAAAGTAGACAATTTCAATTCATTTACTCTGTTAACCAGTTATTTCTAGCAATGAAAATTTAAATATACTGATCGAAATCTTAGTTTGGTAATTGGTTGTATGAAAATATCCATGGTTTCCTAAAAGCATGATTGATATGTTGTTTGCACATATTCAAGGGCAAAAAACTAGGGGGGGGGCAGCAATTTTATTCCGAAATATTCATTTTTGCACTTTTCTTTATATAATCTTTGTGCCATGAATAAAATAAAAATTGACATAAAGTAATGCAACAATCAGAATCTATTTAGAAATCATTGAAGAAACCAAATGCAACATTTGACAATGAGAAAATATGCAAATGAATGAATTAACATTGAAATGAAATTAAAAAGTTATAATTGAATTCCAAAAGTTTGTTTTCTCTCTTCAGCTCAACTAAATTTATTCAAATTAAATGTATGTGGAGAGTTCGGAACTTTTGTGTGAAGTATTTTTAATCTTGAAAACATGATCTCGATATCTAATGTGGGTACAGTTTGAATATGAGAATATATGATTGATCTCGATATATAATGTGGGAACAGTTTGAATATGAGGATATATGATTGATCTCGATATCTAATGTGGGTACAGTTTGAATATGAGGATATATGATTGATCTCGATATCTAATGTGGGTACAGTTTGAATATGAGGATATATGATTGATCTCGATATCTAATGTGGGTACAGTTTGAATATGAGGATATATGATTGATCTCGATATCTAATGTGGGTACAGTTTGAATATGAGGATATATGATTGATCTCGATATCTAATGTGGGTACAGTTTGAATATGAGGATATATGATTGATCTCGATATCTAATGTGGGTACAGTTTGAATATGAGGATATATGATTGATCTCGATATCTAATGTGGGTACAGTTTGAATATGAGGATATATGATTGATCTCGATATCTAATGTGGGTACAGTTTGAATATGAGGATATATGATTGATCTCGATATCTAATGTGGGTACAGTTTGAATATGAGGATATATGATTGATCTCGATATCTAATGTGGGTACAGTTTGAATATGAGGATATATGATTGATCTCGATATCTAATGTGGGTACAGTTTGAATATGAGGATATATGATTGATCTCGATANCGTAATAAATATCTGGCCAAACCGTAATAAATAGCTGACCAAACCGTAATAAACAGCTGACCAAATCGTACTAAACAGCTGACCAAACCGTAATTAACAGCTGACCAAACCGTAATAAACAGCTGACCAAATCGTAAAAGAAAGCAGACCCAATCGTAATAAACAGTTGGCAAACCCGTAGTAAATTGCTGACCAAATCGTAATAAAAAAATGTATTTATTTTGAATCCTTGTTTTTATCACAAAATACAACTGTCTAGAACATTTAAAGTTTCTGTCGTTGAAACTCTTATTGACCTTTCATTAAAAAAAACCATTTCTGATCAGAAATGTGGAATGTCTAGTAATTTTTCTAAATTTAGAAATAATTTAGTTCTGACAAAATCCTCCATTGAGTCTGTAGCGGAAATCAGCAAGTTACTGTTATAGAAAACCCACGTTAGAAAATCAATTTGCAAAGAAATAAGCATGGATATCTCATTTATTTTTGACTAAGCCTTTTAGAATACCGTTTTGAATCGTACGTGCCACTTGCTAGTACACTATAGACTTGTGTCATTTATCAACTGGAAAGTAATTTACAAAATTTCAACGGAACGAAGTTTGATTGTTTTTTTATGCAAATGTCTAGGCTACAAACCCTTTTAATTGATTGTCTTTATTTATTCTTGTTAAAATTGTGAATGCTGTGTTTGTTTTCAGGGAAGATTCATAATCCTTGGCATTTTGTTCGAGATTTTTACTTCTTCAAGAGATCTCAGTATCCACAGCTGAGCCTTGTTTACAGAACACCACAAGGAAACATTATAGAAACCACAAGGAGTCAGAAATCAAACGTTTATATTATAAACTAGCTTGGGAACCCGGCGTGGCCCAGGGTAGTCACAGTTAGTCCCGCCGTTTACCCGCGTTTTGTCGTAAATTACGATTTTAGCTATTTTTCCCTATAAAAATGAACACAATCAACTTAGCATCTTAAAACTAAGAACAAGTTCCCCAACTCAAATCGGTCAAATGGTTTCTGAGTTATGATCGGAAAAATAATCAATCAGATATATAGATATCTTAGTCATTCCTACGAATTATCTTGCTTAAAGTTCCCTTTGGATATTCCAAGGTGGTCGTTATACCTAATAATTGTAAAGATAACTAAGTTTGAGGGATAAAGCACTTTTCCCTCAGATTTAAAAGTTGTCACAGTGGATATCAAATTGAGATCAAGTGTTGTAGATAAGCAATGTTTCGCTTTTCCTTGAACAAATTAATATTGTCTGCACAAAGTCTGTGTTCCTCAACATATTGTTATTGCTCTGTACAAAGTCTGTGTTCCTGAACATATTGTTATTGCTCTGTACAAAGGCTGTGTTCCTGGAACATATTATTATTGCTCTGTACAAAGGCTGTGTTCCTGGAACATATTATTATTGCTCTGTACAAAGGCTGTGTTCCTGGAACATATTATTATTGCTCTGTTCAAAGGCTGTGTTCCTGGAACATATTATTATTACTCTGCACAAAGGCTGTGTTCCTGGAACATATTATTGCTCTGTACATAGGCTGTGTTCCTGGAACATATTATTATTACTCTGCACAAAGGCTGTGTTCCTGGAACATATTATTATTGCTCTGTACAAAGGCTGTGTTCCTGGAATAAATATTAATTCTGTTTTCAAGAAGCTAGTCTCTGGGGGGAAATATTTTGGTTTCCAATTCTAAACCAAAAATTTCCAATTCTACAGGAAACCCAGAGGGGGATGGTACACACAACTACTCATTACACCCCCCCCCCCTTTAGTTTTTACAAAATTTCCGTTGCACAAGGATATTTCTTTGTAAAAATTAGGTTGAAAAAATTAAAGGTTTGCACAAAATAAAATTCATAATAAACTTTTACTCTGCGGTAGCGCGAAGCAGAGATGTCAACGAGAGTTCTAACCAATAAAGATAAAGAGATTAAATCTCAATTTGGGAGACTCAGACCGCCCAAAGGCTAAGCACATTTAAATTATGATTTGTTTTACTATTACTCGAACTTTGTGTCATTCAAATTCAAAGATGTGCTACAAATAGTAATGAACATTTCGTAACGGATGCTTTATTCTAAAAATTCTAAACGTTGAAATCTCTACTTTAGTGCTATTAGTTGGATACTTTTGCTTATTTAAATATGCATTTTTTATTTTAATATTTCTTTATGGTTATCTCAATAATTGTTACTGCAGATGCATACTTGGAGTTGCAAAAACAAGCGTTTAAACTCAAGTTTGTTGAAATAGGCAAAATGACAAAAATAAATCAAATTCTCAAAAAAAATATTCTTTTTTCAACACCTTCCCCTTTATTGAAAAAATTAAACCATTTTGCAATTTTGTCATTTAATATCATTTCAGGCAAAGTTATGCTTATCTGGGGTATTCTGAAGAATGTCAGGGATTGGACCACACATCTCAAATCAACTTAATTGATATTTTATTTATTATTTCTGCATCCATCTATAGAACAAGAAATATAATATATAAACTAAAGACATGGAAAGTTTTTTTTATTGGTTAATTGTCTTTAAGACTAATTTTCTCAAATTTTTCTTATTTTGTCGATTAGAAATATTCATAATATATTTTTGAATTCAAAAAATGTTTGCTAGTGGGTCAAGCTGTTTTCTTGTTTATTTAAAACTCACAAACTAAGAGACAAAAATTAATATTGATGTGTGTGTTTAGTCAAGTTGTGCAACGTGTTGTATTCCTTCATGAAGATCTAGTCAAGCTACCAACATTTCCTAGGAAAGCTTTAGAAGCAGAACTAGATCTATTCGAGAAAGGAGATATTGGAAAGGTAAGTAATGAAAATGACAACAATTAACGTTGGCGTTCTAAGCAATACAGAAACCTATCCTTAACTCCCCTTTATCTTATAGCAAATATTTTTCCTCACATTTTTAAAGCGCAAAGCTAGAAAATGACCGCCATTTGTTACCAGTAAAAACTTGAAGAAAGAATAAGGTCCGAGTAATTGTTTAAAAAAACGATTATTCATTGAAAGAGCCACGTTAATACAAAATTCATAAATATTATCATCAAGCCCTGTTGCTGCTGAAATCAGATGCTTACACTGTTAAAACTTAACCACCATACAAAAAAATGTGTTTGAAAAATTACTAATTTTTTATTCGAAATTACCCGGGATTCTTGTAACACTAAGATGATATTTCTAAACTTACAAATACCCTTATATACATGGGCTGGGCGAATACAGAAATTTTTTAAAAGGGGGAAACCTTTTTTGAAAATCAGTTTCTGCGTTTCTAAGGAGGGGTTTAGCCCCCCCTGTATGCGCCCCTTCCAATATACAGATTACCCACAAAGGATGAGACTTGAAAGACCACTGTACAGAGTTTTTACTGTCTGTTTTCTTGTATTCATACTACGGGAAGCCGTAGTACATTTGAATTTCCGAGCCGGGTCAACCTTTCAGGTCCAGTTTGTACTGTACAGGATAGGACCAGCCGGTGCAACAAGGTTGACGCGGTCAGACTTTATGCTTCATGTAGGTTGAATTTACTTTTAATTAAGGGGTAGATTTGCGTGATTCATACTTATTTTGTGGACAAATCATAAAATATGCTGTTTGAAGACGACATTCAATGAAGATGACTTAATTTAGACTTTAGATCATTATATTTGAAGTATTCTTTACGGTCCCATTTTTTGTGAGTAACTATATATCTGTTTTGTATTCAACTCTTGTATTCTCTTAAAGCAAACTTTTCCCCCTCCATCCAATAAACAAGAAATTCCCCCACAAGGAATTCAGAACTTTCCCTCAGGCCGTTCTCAGCTATATCAATGCTTTATATGGAACTCAATTTCGTTTTCTTAATTTTATAATCTTCATGTGAGTGTGACAAAGTACTATAATATAGAAGATAGAACATAAAATCAAATATGATGAGATTTGTACGCTAGAAGTCTCCTTTAACTCTCTTTATTGTGGTCTTATGTTTCAGGAGTTACAGAGCATTGATGTGTTGCACAAGTTCAACTGGATTAGGTATATCAAAATATCTCCCTTCTATTCCTTGCTCCCTGATCAAAATGTTAATCTATTTAAATAATATTAATATCATCATATTTAAACATATATAGACAATGAAATTATACGGTGAAAACCATAAAGCTATGCAATAGGACTATCACTGATATAGTTTTACAAATATTATTGCTTCAAGGTCTTCTGTTATTCTAAAGATGTTTACATCTTTAGGGGTATATCACCCTAAAATAAACTTCCGGTGTGAACTGCAGCGATCTGAATTCTGACCGAAGAAATAGAGGGGTTTAGTGGAGAATAATATATGTATATAAATACCAATTTAAAAATATCTACATTTACAATTCAACTGTTGAAAACTAAAGATTTCACGAGTTCTCACATAGAAAGAGACTGGTTTAATATTTTCCAACTATTCTTAAGTTAAAACATTTAAACATTTTATACGTTTTATTTTCCAAGAGAAACTCTTTTATCTGCACTCTGCATGACTGGAACATTTTTTACAATGGTTTTAGGAAAATTAAAAATAATGGTTTTAAATCTACATTTTACACCGTTTATAAACGTTGTAGTGGCTGAACCGATTTTTGATTTAAAAACTGTGATCAAAATGTACGATGATGCTATGTTAAGGGCTTGATAGAACAACAAGGTTGGCAACTAAGTTTTCCCTTTAAAAGTTGTCCCACCACCAGCTCAACTTCAAATATTCAAACCAAGCTCAACCACATAGCTCAACTTTAAATATTTATACCAAGCTCAACCACATAGCTCAACTTTAAATATTCAAACCAAGAGAAGAACATTTCCATATGATCGGACATACAATATTGCCATGAGCGGTTATTTATACAGATAAGACGAGTAGAAAATTGACCTAAAATATTTTGCTTTCACGGTGGACTAATCCAGGATTAGGCCGGGTACTTAAAAAGTCTGAACGCGCCATGGGAGTTGTCATAGTTAGCCCTTCGACGGGGGGCTATGCCAAGAAAATTGACCCCTGTCATATGTTAGTCTGGTTAGGGCGACGTACTGTACATAATATGGTCATAGGATCGGGTCAGTACACACTGTTATCTGGCAGGCCAGTACAAACTCGGCAGGTCCTGTTCGAATTTAAATTTACTACGGTCTAAAGTGTTTTAGATAAATAATTTCTGACTGTCAACTATCATTGGTTTCAGAAGTAGTGTGGATTTATTTTTTAATTGAATAGGTCACAAATCCGCAAATTTTATTAAATGACTTTCGATTGGTATCAGAAGCCTAATCCCTGAACCTCATTAGAGAATCTTTTTTCCCTCTTTATCTTCTTGAAGATGGAATTTCTCTTCCATAAAGCTCACATTGTTGTGTATGCTATCAAGGAATATGTATATTTATATGCAAGGAACCAGTTTATTATGTTTTGTATACAATTTTATTCATAAAATACATTTATTCCATGAATGAGCATCAAGCATGAATTGTATAAATTTTGAATGAAAATTTACGACTGTTTTAAATGGAAAACCCCCGAGGGATTCAATGATAAACCCGAGGGCGGAGAGTAAATGATACATTTTTGAATTATCAGCCTTGACCTGACCTGATCATGTCATTTTCTTCTAGTATCCACTAATTTTATCTTTTAATTGTTGCTTTAAAGGGGCCCATTTTCTCTTCGAACAAATTAAAAAAATTGACAATTCATCTGTTATTTTTTGTAAATTTTTTTAATTCTTTGTAACTATGTAAAGTAACTTTAGTGATCAAATTATAGACCTATTCTCAAATTAGAATTTTGCCCCGATCGGTTTAGAAGTCTTGACGTTTATTGAAAACAAACCAACACCCAGACAAAATATATAATGAATTATACTTTAATAAATAATTTCAATTGATTTTGAAATTTTATGATGTTTTCACAATCTCCAAATCATCCGGAATATTTTTATTGGAGTTTTTTGGATTTTCCAAAAACCGCCGGAGATTAAAAAATAAATCAACAAATAAAGTAGATTAGAACAAAATTCGGTGGTAGGCGATTATATCAATACAATGAAGACGACTTTCAAGTTCAATTTTGATTTTTATCAAGCTTTTAAAAAAGCTTCTCTTAATTTCCTGTAAACTTGTAATTCTAAAAAAGCATGTTATCAATTAAAACTTAAATAAAAAGATTGTCTTCATTATATTGATATTATCGCCTGCCACCGAAATTAATGAATTAATATGAGAATAATATGCATATTAATTGATAAAGACAAGAGTTTTATCACAATAATATTAATTGTATCAATGTGAAATAGGATATTTTTGCTTTTACTTAGCAGTTCTGATTTCTTTATCTAGGATATATTATATAGATAAAATATAAATATATATTTATATATTTAGATTGATATCCCGGATGTTTGAGGCAATGGCTGGGAACTTTGCCCGCCCTGAAGATATCCAACTCTTCATCAATGTTATAAATGGTTCCCTAGCACTACACCCTGAGGAAGCATGCATACTTAGGAATATATAATATAATAATCAATACCATACCATCCTATACACAATATTCTATTCAAGAACAAAATGTTCATAGTTTTTAACAAAATGTTCTTAAGTTTGTACGCAATTTACGTAAGTTTAAAAAAATTGTTCATGATTTCTAAGAAAATGTTTATATTTTTAACCAAATGTTTATAGTTCCTAACAAAATGTTTAAAGTTTGTACACAATGTACGTAAGTTTAAGTAAATCGGTTGGTTTTCCTTCTTACAGTAAACTGGGGTTAACCTTCACTATTTCCCAGAGGAAACATATCTTGACATTCAGAGTTAATGCAACTTTTTATTCTTAAACTTTAGTTTTATTCTAGAACTTATTCTTTAGTCCAGAAGTTTTTCTTTACTCTTGAACTTTTTAATTCAAGAACCAATTGTATTCCAGAACAAATTGTATTCCAGAAAAAGTTGGATTCCAGAATTCGTTTTTATTCCAAAAAAAGTTGTGTTCGAGAAATAGTAATTTTTTTCAAGAAAACGTTTTATTCCAGAACTTGCTCCTCATCCCTGAACTTGTTTTCATTGAAAGGTTTTTTAAGTTATACTTTTTTCTTTGTTTAGGGCCATCTTGTTCTCCTTTTATTTTCTTATTCAAATTGACAATTAACAATTTTAAGAGAGAAAAACTAGGATATCTTTAGCATTTTTAATCAAGGAAAGGTTTCAAGGGTATCGTTGTAAATCAATATTTCTAAAGTTTTATCTAGAATTTTATACATGTTCAATTTCCTACTTTGAATTGTAAATGTCGAGGAGAACCTGATTTTTATATTCCTGTTTTGGACAGATATTCAAGTGAGGGGTTCCAAACCTTTATTAATACAATAACTTATAAATGTACTTTTAATAAACATTTACTTATAATAAACAATTACTTATATATATAAAATTGTCAATTTTGCAGGAACATATTTAATGCGAGCGGTTATCTTTTAGGTAGGATTTTTTTTGTAACTCATATTATTTAATTTTGAATGTTTTAATGATTCCTCTTCTTAATCTTGAAAGTTCTTGAATATTTTACAATCCAAATCTTGGTCTAGAATATTCTTAATTGTATATCCTGATCTTGTTCTTGAATATTCTTGTATATCCTGTTCTTGTTCTTGAATATTCTTGTATATCCTGATCTTGTTCTTGAATATTCTTGTATATCCTGATCTTGTTCTGGAATATTCTTGTATAGCCAGATCTTGGTTTTGAATATTCTTGTTTATCCTGATCTTGGTTTTGAATATTCTTGTATGCGGAGGAAATATGTAAATATTGGTTTGAATCCTGTGATGGATATTGACTTAACTTTGTGGAAAACCTTGAACACAGAAAGTAAATGTTTAGAATATTTTCATCTTCAGGTCAAATAAATGCTTGCCACATCTCATTAAAACTTAAAAGTTCTATGAAGAAAAGAAATCGCAATTTTTAAAACTTCTACAATTTAATGGGAATGTAGACGTAAATTTAAATTATTGAGTAACATGTTAGATTCTCAAAGGTACTCTGAAATATTTTTATGATCAAAAGCAATTGAGATATTGATGTTTTTAACCTTGAAAATAGATTACTTCATTATAAAAAAATGATCATCATTAGTTGTGGTTTCTATATCAAGTGACCATTTCGGAAAAGACATGGCCCTTTGATATTATACAGTTGACGCGCCAGGTTTTTTTTAATTGGCCCAGAAATAATTTTCTCAATGTTTAGTGATGCCGTCCATCCTGCAGATCTACTCCAACAATCTGTCCAACACACTGGTCACCTCCAGTATAGAGTTCCTCGTTAAACAGCTTTATATTCTACACAGGTACTGTATTGTACAGTACAACAGGTTAAAAGTCTCCTTGTACTGTACTGTACAACTGGTTAATAGTCTCCTTGTACTGTACAGCAGGTAGGTTATCTTGTACTGTACTGGAGGTAGTTTATCTTGTACTGTACTTCAGGTAGTTTATCTTGTACTGTACTGCATGTAGTTTATATTGTTCTGTACTGCAGATAGTTTATCTTGTACTGTAATGCAGGTAGTTTATCTAGTACTGACTGCAGGTAGTTTATCTGGTACTGTACTGCAGGTAGTTACTAGTTCTTATTGTATTGTACTGCAGGTAGTTTTTCTTTTACTGTACCGCAGGTAGTTTTTCTCGTACTGTAATTCAGGAAGACCTTCTTGCACTGTACTGCAGGTTATAAGTCTCCTTGTACTGTACTGCAGGTAATTCCTCTTGTACTTTGTTTCAGATAGTTCTTCTTGCACTGTACACCATGGTTATTAGTCTTTTTGTACTGTAATTAAGCTTGGAAAACTTTTCGTATAATGTGAAAAAGTATAAAAATGAACCTTTTTAGAAAACCCTTCCTTCTGCAGATGTTTGGATCAATAGCAAACAGTTTAGAGAGCAAAGATTTGTCAGATCCTTTCAAGGTAAATATAGTTTTAAACTATACAAGTATTAAAAAACAAATATATAATTCAAATTAACAAGAATAAAGATATTTTGATAAATAATTCTAAAAGAAAAAAATAGTGGAACTCGAAATTGAGTCTTGAGTGCTAAAGTCCTTAAAATGTCGAAGTTTCTGGGCATCATCAAACTAAAACATAAAAGAACTGTGATATGTATGTTTTACTCTTTACAATTTAGAGAGATGTGTAAAAGAGAAAATAAACTCTTGATAGTCTTGAAATTGCATTGGAGAAAAATCTAGATCTAATTCAATATTGAATCTCAAGATTTAGTGGATTCTCCAATTTTGCATAGAATTAAACTAGCTTTTAGACATATCTCTTGAATGTCATTTAAGTTATGTTAGAAACAAAACAAAAAAGAATTTTGAATCACTATTCTTCGTTTTAAGCCGAAAAAGTTTAATTTCTTTCTCACCATTTAATTGGTGTGATGCAAGTTGCCTACTTTTAAACTTTGTTTATATTTCATATATTTTATAGTATATTGTTTATGTTCAATTCAACTCAATTATTTTAAAGTTAACTTGTTTTGTATTGTACATTATATTTAGTAATTTTATATTAAATAGTGTAGGTTCATCCTTGAGGTTTATATCTTGTATTGTTCATTCTCTAGGTTTATATCTTGTATTGTTCATCCTCTAGGTTTATATCTTGTATTGTTCATCCTCTAGGTTTATATCTTGTATTGTTCATCCTTTAGGTTTATATCTTGTATTGTAGGTTCATCCTCGAGGTTTATATCTTGTATTGTAGGTTCATCCTTGAGGTTTATATCTTGTATTGTTCATCCTCGAGGTTTATATCTTGTATTGTTCATCCTCTAGGTTTATATCTTGTATTGTTCATCCTCGAGGTTTATATCTTATATTTTTCATCCTCTAGGTTTATATCTTGTATTGTTCATCCTCTAGGTTTATATCTTGTATTTTAGGTTCATCCTCGAGGTTTATATCTTGTATTGTTCATCCTCAAGGTTTATATCTTGTTTTATTCATCCTCTAGGTCTATATCTTGTATTGTTCATCCTCGAGGTTTATATCTTGTATTGTTCATCCTCGAGGTTTATATCTTGTATTGTAGGTTCATCCTCGAGGTTTATATCTTGTATTGTAGGTTTATCCTCGAGGTTCATATCTTGTTTTTTTTATCCTCTAGGTTAATTTCTTGTATTGTTCATTCTCTAAGTTAATATCTGGTATTGTAGGTTTATCCTCGAGGTTTATATCTTGCATTGTAGGTTCATCCTCGAGGTTTATATCAGCTAGTTCAGAGTCTAGAAAGACCAGCCAATGATATTCTACAGGTATATATATCTTATGAAAAATAAACCGACTGAAACGAGGCCATTTTGTTTTGTTGTAACACACATAAACCAGAGATGGAATTTAAAGAATTTGAGCCGCGGTTTAAATCCGCCAAAACCCGGCTTAAATCTTGAAACATTTGATACAATTTTAAGTGGAACCAACCATATTTAAACCGCGGCTTAAATTTAAACCGCCGCTCAAATTCTTTAAATTCGGCCACAGAGGTTTGGTTTTGTCAGAATTTAAAAATTTTATCTTTTATTTTAAAAATTCGCCAATAAAAACAGAGCCCGCAATTTAAAAACTTCGACTCGAGCCGTAATTCCTCAAACCCGACTTTAAGACCCAATCTTCGACCCAACTTTGACGACAAACTACTTTTATTTATTTTTTTAGTAATAACATTTTTTATTTTTATTTTTTTGATTCTGAAAAGTATCTACCATTTATTATTGTGGGCGATTATTTTATCAGTAGAAGTAAAGGTTAAGAACAATTTCTTTCTTTGTATATGTTCCTAAAAGGAATTGTGGACGAAATTTCAAGCAACTCTCCAGTCTCCATCTAGAGAGGGAAAGATCCGATTAGTCAAAAGTTTAAGGGAAACCTTTGTGAATCGAACATGTCTCTTTGCAAATGGAGGGTCACTTAAAAATAAATCAGCAGTCCCTTTAAAATTGTAATTTTGTAGGTGATGGAACTGGTAAAGATGAAGAAACCCTTGAGTTCCCTAGATTTCTGCTACAATGGTGAGGGAGAATCCATCAATGTTCAGGAAATTAGTTTCTTCCGGTCTTTACCGTCAATTCAAACATAAAATCCATACTTCATTCTAATCTTTAATTGGAATCGATTGCTTCTTATTTTAAAGCTATTTATGGAACAATTGTTGTAAAGGAATTGAGTCTTTGCCACAAACTCTGATTTTCTAAATCCTACCTCTTTGCGACCCGATGTCGTAGATCTTAGATATTTCAAACTATGAACTCTGTTTGATCAAATAGTCGTAGTTTGAAATATCAACGGTTTACACCATCGGGTTGCAAAGATATAGGGATTGGAAAGTTTGAATTTGTGGCTAAAACTCAATTCCTTTGCCATTCACAGTATTTCTACCTGCCAATACCGAACTTCCTCAGAAGAAATTTCGATTTAAAAATGATTTTATTTCTCTATAAGAAAGTTCAGCGCATGTATACGTCCAGTTTATCATATCCTGGATAAAGTACGCTTCTGAGCATGCTTAATATAGGAATATTTAAGTCCTAAGTGAGATCATTTGACAGTTTGTTCACAGTTCGCAATAAATCATCCCAATTAATACTTAATAGATTTATAGACTAATACTTTATAATATAGAACAAGCTATTGTCATTTCAAATTGAAATTACAATTATTACGTATGATTTCAAATTTGTTTACTATAGCTATTGAAATGGCAAAATTGTTCTAAATTACAACCAGACAAGTTTTTTTCCTCATTCTTTGACATAAATTTAACACTGGAGGATTTACGAGGTTGCAAATTCGTTCCAGAATTCCGCTTAAATTTTACTTCTCCTTATTGAGTGTATTTACTGAAGAAAATTTCTAGAACATTTTTTTATGTTGAGTATTCATGTTAGTTTGTTGGGAAGATTTTTCTTTTCTCCTAAATTTATTAATGTTCTGTGCAAGTAAATGGAAAAGAATTGCTTCTAAGGAAATATGTTGCGACATTATTTATTGTTTTTATTAAAGCTAATGTTTCTCTGCCAACTTCAAATAAATTTATTTTAAGAATAGGGTTTTCAACAAACAATATTACTTTTTTATATTGTTTGCAATTTTTATGGAGCCATTGTATTTTAACCTTTAAGGGGTTGGAAACATAATTCAAGATGTACCCTTATACTAAATTTAACAAAGCCTTTTACTAAGTTTATCTTTTTTCAGGTAGTAAAACATGGATATCTCAACCATATTTTAGCAAGATAAATGTTAAAAGGGTACTGCACCGCTACCAATAGTTCATGATACACATTTTATGCTGGCTCACTCCGTTTTTTGCTGACTTTCCTTAAATTTTTAACAACAGATGAAACAGAAACAATTAAATATGATACAGGGTGTCCCACGAAACATGACAGTTGGTAAACAATTTGGAATGTCTTCTACCCTATACCGTAATAGATAATAAAACTTTTTTTCATTTTTTTCATTCAATAAATCTTTTACTAAAATATATTTTGCTTTGAAATCAATTTTACTATAATATGACTACCAATTTAATATTCTTATAATTCTCTTTTTGGTATTAAACAACCTAAGGAATTTTGGAAGAAGACATTTTAAATTATTCACCCGCTGTCATGTTTCGTTGGACACCCTGTACTACATATAAAAGGGAGCGTCGCAAAAAATTAAAGGGGGTAAAGGCTTACGTCGAAAAATTATCGATGGTGATTGATAATAATCTTTCTTCTATGAATTGCGTCTATTAGGAGAAAATTGTTTAAAAAGACTCATGCCGAAGAACGTAGCGTCCCCACAAATTCAGAAAGTTGCAATATTCGACTCAGATCGTTTAAACATCAATTTAATTCCAAAAAATCATTTCGTGAGCATTCCCTTTAAAGAACAAAGAAAGCTATCATATTATTAAATTTCTTCTCAGGCTTTTACAATTCTTTTTGGTCTTCATTGTTTCTTGTGTAACATTTTCATGAAATATTTATAAAGCTGAAGTTAAATAAATAGAATGGACATTATAGTGAGTTTCAGGATTTAAATTGATTTCCAATGGTAAAATTTAAACCATCTTTGAGGGAGATATTGTCGTTTTCTATCTTCAATTTTCAAATGGAGGGTCGCTTGATTCAACGTCGAAAAGTCTTTTTCAGCTGGATTGAAAACACTGATGGTTTACCTAAATATTAATTAAATAACAGATAGGACACTAGATGTCGTCGCTTCAAGATTTAGGGGTTTTGTTCAAAATAATTCTGAGACAGAAGCCCAAACAAGTTACGCACAATCGGCGTAGAACAGGCTTTCTCTCTGTCTTGTAATTCTACGTAGCAATGCGCGTAACTCCTTTGGGTGTCAGCCTAAAGGTTTCATTGTGAACGGAAAACCCCCTAAATCTTGAAAAGACGACATCTAGTGTTCTATCTGTTATTTAAATAAATATATGGATTTACCGATAATCCAGTTGAGTAGAAATTCAGGGCAAGGAAACTGATCACTCGGCTCAAACGCAAATTTTCTTATCCCTACAGCTTTTTAACTTGATATTCTAAACCTTTGATTTTAATAATTTTGCCTATTTTTTTGGCACAACTCATAGTTAGAAAAATCAAAGGTCTGCAACATCAGGTTGCGGAGATGTAAGGATTATAAAATTATAGTTCTGGAGACTTTTCTTTCTCTTGCCTATCCTAACCGAACATTTATCTTATGAGACAGAACTATTCTATTATTCATGATCATGGCACAGAAATCAGAGTTTTATTCTTGATATCCTTGCTTATTATCTAATGTGGACTGATATCATATTTGTATCTGTTTTTATGTTTTAGAAATCTTAACTTATTGATCAGTTTCCTCTATATCATCCGTTTCTGCTTTACATGAAAAGCCATCAAAGAAACAGGGAGAACTACATACGATTTTTTTTTCTGGGGGTGGTAAGAAATTTCACAAGAAGAATATTATTTCTTTGGCTTACTGTCCCGCTTTGCATTATAAATTCTCTATTTGTACGGAACAGCTGACTCTGACTTTGCTAATTAAAGATAGCGCATCAGAAAATCTATGCAAATTTGACGCATTTTCTGGGTGAGCCAACGATAGTAACAAATGTCGTCTTCTCTAATAATCTAGTACGTTTTACGCTGTTGACGTTTCATAATGTCGTCTTTTGTAATAGATTTAAGAGTTATTTAAAAACAAAACTAGAAACCTATCTTGAAATTTTTAATTTGTCCATAAAAGTGACCAGTGGATTTTACGCGACAAAGACAATAAACATAATTTACAGAATTTATTCATTTTTAAGATGAAATAACGACATAAAAATTGATAATACCAACCACACATTAAAAAAAAATTAAATGGTTTAAACCCAAATTTGAAGAAACTAAATGTAGGAGTGTATCTCTATATGTGGGATGGTGGCAGCGTATGATTCTGGAACTACAAGGTACATTTTTTATAGCTTGGTTTACATACTTAGTTATTAGACCTCAGTTTACAGTTAAGCTCAACATATAAAAAGATGATTTAGTTTTTCCAAAATACCGTTTTCCACAGTTTTGCCCAGTTGTTTGAACTTTTGCGTGCAAATTTGCTTTTGCGATGTGAGGTTTAAAGTAAAAAAATCCGCGAATTTATTATAAGACCTCGTTTTTCTGAGTGAATACTGGACAGCTAGCGTTATTTTTACTTCTGGCCCTGAGGAACATCTTTGAGCGTTTTATTAAAAATACAGGGAATTATTTAAAATTTAAATCTTGAATCACGGATTCAACGTTAAAGATGCTTGAGGATTTGAATCGTCCATTCAAGATTTGAACCGGCGAGCGGTGGGAAGTTCAGCGAGCAAGCTCAAATTCATTAAATTCGGTCCCAGGAGCGTTTTTTATTAAATTTAATTCTAATAAATTTTACCAGAGTGATTAAATATTGATATTATTCCAGGGTTTAGATTTATTGAATAGAAAAGTATTTTAAACATAGACGTGTTTGAACCACATTTCTCCAACTTCAGTTGCGCACGAGAGAAATGGTTCAACTACGTCCAAGCGGTTCAACTAATTCTCTCATTCATTAATTATGATATTTTGCTATATTTTGCAATATTTTGCTACTTTTCTGATTATTGTTAATAGTTGATAATAATTAATTTAAATGTGTAGAAAAACAAAACGTTTTCTTGCTGTTTATAGGATTTAGACTTTTTCGGGTTATAGTGTTGAATTTTACTATGAAACTGTTTCAGGGCGAATGAAATGTTGACAGTTTTGGATGCACTAATACCGATTTTTCTTAAAAATGTTCTAAAAGATAGAAAAGCTGAGATGAAAGATATCAGGAACAACATTGATCAAACAAACAAAAACAGAAAATATAATTTCTCTTTTTGAAAAGAACTAAACATTTATTTCTTAAAGATAATATATTATTTGATTAAATCCAAACATTTCATTTCTAAAAAAAATATTAAAACCTTACACGTGTTCTTAAAATCATCAAATCGTAAGGTAATGCTTTAGGTTCTCAACCAAGCACGTTAAAAGAAGTGAGATATGAAGGAATAGCTAGAAGTAGTTGAACCACGTACAACCGGTTCAACCAGTCAAGCTGAAAAGAAGTGGTTCAAATCTACTGCAGTTAAACTACTTCTCCAATACATGAAATTCTATTTGAAAAAATACAGATTTTTCAGAAAAATCTAATTTGTTTGATTAATTGTTGTCAACAGAGAGATAATTCATCAGCTGTCTCATACAATGAAAACTATCATTCATAACAGTGATAAACTTGCACAGTAAGTTATATGAGTTGAATTCTAATTTTCATATTTTAATGGAAAAAATAGCTTAAGAATATAATCGATTTTCTTTTTCAATTAGATTTTTTAAAATGAATTTTAAAATAAGTTTGAAAGATAACAGCATATATTTAAAAATGTATGAATGTACTTAACAAAAATGTATAAAATTTATAAATGTATACAATGTATTGAAGGAATTATGTATAGAATGTATAAATCTATAGAATGTACAATGTATAAATGTATAAAATATATAAATGTGTAAAACGTATAAATGTGTAGAGTTTGTAAAATGTATTAATGTATAGAATGTATAAATGTATAGAATATGTAAAATGTATAGAATGTATAAATCTATAGAATGTATAATGTATAAATACATAAAATGTATAATTTTATAGAATGTATACGGGTCCAATGAGGAATGAAGAAATGAGGTCAACCTCCCAGCATTATCAAGGTATTTTAAAATATTTCAAAATGTGAAGAAGAAAATCAAAATTACAATAATTGAAGAGAAGATTTTACCCTGTGTTCAGATAACTGGAAAATATGAATTTCTTTAAAATGAAAAACATCTCTCAAGTTGACATTTCTCACATTCTTTCCACTTTTTTCCGTATATTCAAGTATTCAGAGTCCGAATTTAGTTAATTTGAACCGCGTATCAAATCCATAAAAAACCGATTTCAATTGAGCGCCGGCTTAAATCTTGAAAATCTAAAAATGGTTTATTCTCAGGAGAAATTATACACATATGTTTAGTCTAACGTCATTATTTTCCTCCTCCTTATTACTCAGATTGATGTTTTAAAGGGTACCTTTATGAGACGGGGCTTACTAGGACGAGATGCATTCGGTTTCTTTTATTTGAATTCAATCACGTGTTGGTTTGTCTGTAATTCAATCAATAATCTTTTAACTTGCGGAGTTGTTTTTCAATACTTTTTCGTTTAACAAGCAGATGCCAATAAAAAAGTATACAATGCATAAAATTATGTCTAATAGGTCAAATTGTGATCGAAAGTCACATTTCTCTGGGATATGGACCGAAACTTCCGCGTGGAAAGAGTCAATTTAGATTACGCCTACAGTCCCTTAAGAAAATTTAAAAACCTAAATTTTACTGAAATAAATACTTTTAGGAAAGGCCCCGTACTCGCCAGTTATCGAGATTGACGATGATTCTCACTCGAAATTTATTGGAGATTCGATAAGGAAGGTGTCTCGTACATTTTATACATATTTTTAGTTGTGTTGGCAATTTTTTTCTGACAAGATTGAAGGGGGGGGGGGGGTCCTTTATACCCTTTAAGTAGAAATACGAGAGTTTGATACTTGTTTATCAAAACAAGTTATGACCTCTAAAACATTGTAAAACAAGTTATGACCCCCTAAAACATTGTAAAATAAGTAATAGCCCCTAAAACATTTGTTAACAAGTTATGACCCCTAAAACTTATAAAAAGAAGTTATGACCTCTAAAACATTTTTTAAAAAGTTATGACCCCTAAAACATTTTTAAACAAGTTATGACCCCTAAAAAATTGTTTAACAAGTTTGCTGAAAAATGATTTTGAATCACTGGTGGGTCTATAGTGTTGCCCCCCCCCTTCACATTATCAGAATAGAGTTAATCTTGATATTTGAAATCAGTGTTCAAATGTGAACCTTGAGCAGGGGAAAACCATACCCTGAGGAAGGAGAAGATTCAGAGACAAAAAGAGAAAACTTTAGGAAATTAAACATTAGACTGAAATTAAATGAAAAAAAATGAATAATATATTGCGTGATACTCATAGATAAATAAATAAACATAGATAGCTTATGTACGCAAAATCACCAAGAATTTTACAGTCCGCGAACTCATACTTCTAGGGGTCAAAGTGTACTTCTATGATAAGCGGGGTGGTTTGGTGTTTTAATAGAGTGTAAAATAACTCCGGGAATGGAACTATTTGAACAACAATATTTCACTGAGCAGGACTAAACTATAACTTAAATTTCTCTCTACAGAACTCATATACACCACACTCAATGACATAAGAACTGCAGCCAATGTTCACAACCGACCTAGTTAATCTATATAATAGGAATATCTTTAAAACATATCTGTACATTTATAATGAGAAATTTATGAGAAATGTCGTCTTATGCGCAATCTAATGGTAAAACTGCACTAAGCTAGTGGGAAAGGTCAAATAGGCCTATGATAGGTAGGGTACTGTAAAAAGTCTGGCCGAGCCATCAAAGTTGAAACCTAACCGGCATAGGATCAGGTCGGGCCGCGCGTCACTAAGGCTGGTACAAGGGGTTGGGCTGGTACATGCTGCACGTCACTAAGGCCGGTACAAGGGGTCGAGTGGCATTAAACTGCTGAGACTGATAGACTAGGATTTTAGTAAACCACAATTTCATTTTCTGCAAAGTTAAAACATTTTAGTTTTAGATTTGGGACAAATGGGAAATAACAATAATTTTAAATCCAACTCACGCATTTTTTGCACGTGACAAGGTAATAGAATCCTTGACCAAAAACTGGCATGAATGTTATTTTGTTAAAAGAAAGAAGAATTCAAAAAAAGTTTTTTTTTACTTAGCGATTTTACAAAGCTTATTTATATTTCAATAATCAATACTTTAATTTTTTTAAGTCCTGAAAATCACAATAAAGAGCTAACCACTAGTTAATATGATGAAAACCGGCCACCCCCTCTAATATTTTACTAAAATTATAGATATCCCTAAATGTTTGGTTTGGTTAGATATCCGCGGAATTGTCTGCTGAATTTCTCCGCGGATTTTCTCTCTTCCTGTTCTGCTAAACTAAACGAAATCAACAAAAAATCTGCACAGGAAACATTCAAACAATATTAAATATTTGCTTTCTTGACTGGATTTACAGTGTAGACCAGAAAACAATATTTTATTATAGAATGACGTTAAGGTTTTTGTAATTTGCAAATCAATTATATCTTTTAAAGGGCCTTGAATTTTTAAAAAAGTTTATCTATTTCAAAAAATGTAAAATTTAAAATCCTCAGCAACGTTTCTTAAATAAAAGAAATTACTGTTTTCTGGTTGTCTCTGTAGTTAAATTTACAAAAAAAGAAAAACGTCCACAATATTGAATGTTTCTACGGATCTAGGAGAAGACCATAGAATTGGTTGATATTAAGTGCTATATTCGTCTTAACGAGGTGGCATCAAGTATGATTAAAATGGCACCATACGACCAGGTAGGAACCTGCATTCTTAAAGGTCAAGTTTGTTTTTATAAATAAAAACCTTCATGTAAAGTTTGCTTTAATTAAACTTTGCAATATCTTTATTCTAAACAAAATTGAAGAACAGTGCATCGTGTTTGCATATATTTTCTTTGAGGGTCAAAAGTTAAGTAAAAAAGCATTTAAAAAAATTCAAAACATTTCCATTTCTTAAAATTTGCCAAACTAGGCCCTGAAAGAATATATAAGCAAAAACGACCAAAAACCGAACCAATTGAAAGGATATCTGTGGAAGTTATTACAAGTTGTGAGAATTCAACAATTTTAAATTTAGAAACCGAAAATATCTTCCTTAATGTAGCTGGTCCGTCAAGAATTGAACATGGTGCTCTGTACAAGGCCGAAAAGTCGCATTAAATAACTCCAAAATTCCCTTAAAAGACCAGAGTAAATTTAGTAAATCAGGCATAGTGTTAAAGATTTTAAATGTTGCTGATTATATAATACTTTTAAAATCATTTTTAAATTTTGTGTAGGAAACTCTACAAAGTCCTGGGTTACACAAGTACATGAAGCTAGTTCTACCCAACACTGACTGGTCTGGGGTATCCATGAAACCCGTTATAACCAGTTTTCTCCGGCGCCTGGACAAGATGGTGGCTAAAATTCATAAAAATCAACGGATTTACGTCTCTATTGACTGGAAAGCAGTTTCCATTATTTTATCAGGTAACACAAATTAATACATAAATATAAAAAATCTATAAAATTATAAACATTGTTTTTACTGTATCAACTGTAGAATAGCCATCATCTATTTAATTAAATAATATCTATCTTTCCAGGGAATTCAATTAAAGAATTGAAATGAAAAAGTTTCCCCTATTTATTGAGTGTTTAATTCTATTGAGGTGTTTATGAAACAGTTTGGAACTACCCTCATGTAATAGTCAGCCTGCCTAACTTCAAGGTATTTACCCTAATAATAATATATTAATAATAAATATATATATATATATATAGATCAGTTGAAACGCAACAATCTTCTTATAACATTTTATTCATAAACAAATTGTTTCAGTATGAATACGTTAGCTATAGCTGGCAAACGGCAGGACAAAATTGGCTGAATTTTTTTTAAGAAAATCATGGGTACCCTGGGGAAAAAACTCGATTTTTTTAGTTTAAATTAAGCTTTTTTCGTTTTTTCATAATTCCACGGGCAACGCCAGGCACTTCAGCTAGTAAAGCATAAAACAATAACATAAGAAAAAGGCCTGTGGCACTTAAACATCAAAAGCAAACAAAGTAGAAAAGATTTGAACAAATAAGCATCAATTCATTAATTATACAGTGAGAACCAGAAAAGAGCTAAATTCTGGTCGTCTTTGTTTGTATCTTTTGAAACTAGTAAAAACTTAAAATTTCTGTAAAAAAGTAGTGACGTGGGACCGAATTTTATGAATTTGAACTGCCAACTGCCGAGTCAAATTTGAATCACCGATTCAAATCTTGCGTTAGTCTTAAACTTTGAATCAGTGGTTCAAATTTGAACCGGTAGTAGGTAGAGCAGATCGAAATCGTTAAATGTGTCAAAAAATACAAAAAATATGTTGCTTTTCATAGTTTCTGGTTTGTTAGCACTGTTGAACTTGGTTAATATGTGTTTCTTCAAATCTTTCTATTAGAATGTATGCTGTAAGATAAATATGAAATATGACTGTAGCACATTAAAGAGAATATATACATATATAAATGTTTTAGAGGAAAATTCAAATATTAAATGTTTTCATAAATCCAGGAGGAATATCCGAGTCTTCATTTTAATATTCCTCAATTTAAAAGGGAATAAATGTATTTTAAGAAAATATTTAAAATATAAGTTTTTAATGTAAACTGAAAAATAGCTTGGTAATAATAAAATATTTCAAGCAACTAAAACTTTTAAGATGTTTGCGACAAAATCCTTTCAAATTAGCTTCTATTTAAAGGAAGAAGATTTGAGACGAGGTTGCGTGATTTTTAGTAAATTCTCATTTACAGGGTGTCCCACGAAACATGACAGTTGGTAAAAGCTTAAAATGTCTTCTTCCATTGTTTTTTAAGTTGTTTGAACCCCACGAGAATAATATAAAAATTTTCATGTCAGCCATATCAAAGTAAAGTTGATTTCAAAGTAAAATATATTTGAGTAAAAGAATTTTTAAAACTAAATAAACTGCAAAAAGTCTATAATATCTAATATAGTATATGAAAACTATTCACAAACTGTCATGTTTCGTGGGACACCCTGTATATCCAACTAGCTAAATTTCGGATTTAAAAAAAAAAAAAATTTGAAGAAGAGAAAATCAAATTTTTAAAGACTAAAAATCATTTTTTTAGCCTATGTTACCCACAGTGTACACATGAGTTTCCTGAAATTTTTTTTTGCCAGTTAGCTCTAGCCGTTTGGCCAGCTGTAACTAACAGACATACAAACAATATATGAGCCAAGAGTTTTATTTTATAAATGTTAAATATTATACTCTTATTAATTATTATTATTATTATTATTAATTATTTAAGTATTTTTTCGTTTTTTTATCTTAAAAAACTGTTTGACATATTTCACTACATATAAGATATAAGAGTTTATCAATTTATTAATTTGTTAATTCATATTAACCAAGGGGTGTCGAGCTATTTAGAAATACATATTACGCTTAGAAATCCGTTTTTAAAAAAATTTCACTTTAATTTATCTTTCCACATTGTTGCATGGTTTTTTTAAGGAAATTTCGACATAATTTGTTTTAAAGAGACTGTAGACAGAATTTGTTTAAAGAGACTGTAGACAGAATTTGCTTTACAGGGACTTAGACAGAATTTGTTTAAAGAGACTGTAGACAGAATTTGTTTTAAAGGGACTTAGACAGAATTTGTTTAAAGGGACTGTAAACAGAATTTGTTTTAAAGGGACTGTAGACAGAATTTGTTTTTAAGGGACTGTAAACAGAATTTGTTTTTATAGTTTTATTCGCTAAATTGAGGATTTAAATGATTTTTAGGGGAAAATCAATAATTTTTTGGGTTAACAATATGAAGAAGATGGACAAATATTCATCCCTCGAGTGTGTTTCTTTTTCATAACATTGAAACGTAATCTGAATACTTATAAATAACTTAAAAATACTTTAGTCTTAGTGTTTAAAGACCCTTAAAGCTATTTATATGTTAAACAAAGGGATGTAATTTCAACTGCAGCAGGGTTCACATTATATAGTATTCTACCATTATTCTTTGTCTAGACAAGAAGTATTAAAGATACTTTTATTTTTCAAAACTATTTTGCTTTTTTTGTTGTGCTAATTTACAAATTTAAACTTGAAATTAATGTTTATTTTCTAATTTTTAATTTAAAAACCAGGAAACTCTGAAATTGGAAGACGGCTTTAACTTAAAACTTAGTGTATTTGATGTTGTATACAAAGCAAATAGTTGTACTAGACACTCATTAAATCATTTATTTAGTGAAATGGGTCTGTGTACACTGCACAATTGTCAGTTTATAATTGGTAGCTTTCTATTTTAAAGTTTTCTGTTTATCTTTGATACCTTATCATATTTCGATATTTCTATACTACAATTTGTTTAACTATTAGATTTAAAATTTTGAAAATCTAAGGTCACAAAATCAGGTTATAATGATATATAGTTTAGAAAGTTTGAGTTTTTGACAAGTGTTCACTTCTTAATGTTAAGTAATCTTTTGTACAGAACTTTGGAGAAATCGAAAGAATTTATATGTTCTCTTTTTTCAACTGGTTTTGTACTATTATACCTAGATCCCAGTAATACTATAAATAATTAAATAGCCATGGAATTTGCGGGAAAAGTTTTCAAGAGCTCCATAAAATTATTTAATTAAAAACTAAATATCTGCAGCATTCCATTATTAGTAGGTTTATAAGACGACATTTTAAGAATACAGTGGAACCCATGAAATTGTGGAATAAGAAGACGACATTCAACCAATCTTGTGTGTATTTGATGTTGTTATAGAGCAAATATAGAATCAACTGATTTAGTAAATTCCGGCTCACTGTGTAGTGTGTACAGTGTACACTGCACAATTTCTATGCAGTGTGCTTCATGTTCATATGACAATTTATTTAAAAAAAGCTTCTTTTGTGCACATGTTTGTTTTCTAGAATTTGGTGACAACCTGTCAAAATCTAGTTCTAGGAGAAGATCAAGATTCAACTGTATCCAACTATAGGAGAGCAATCCTACCCTCCCAGGTATATTGATATACAGGATATAACCGTATCCAACTATAGGAGAGCAATCCTACCCTCCCAGGTAAATTGATATACAGGATACAATTGTATCCAACTATAGGAAAGCAATCCTACCCTACCAGGTTTATTAATATACAGGATACAATTGTATCCAACTAACTAAAGGAAAGCAATCCTACCCTCCCAGGTATATTAATATACAGGATACAACTGTATCCAACTATAGGAGAGCAATCTTACCCTCCCAGGTATATTGATATACAGGATACAATTGTATCCAACTATAGGAAAGCAATCCTACACTCCCGGGTAAATTCATATGTACAGGATACAACTGTACAATTGTATACAAGTTGTGTTCAGCTTCTGAACAATGATTAAGTTTGGGACCAAATTTAATGAATTTGAGCTAGGTCACTGAACTACCTGCTTACAGTTTGAATTTTGAATCAATGATTCAAAGTTAATGATACATTAGGGGTTCAATCGGTGATTCAGGATTTGAACTTGCCATAGGTAGTTCAGCAACCTCTTCAATTCATTAAATTTGGACCCCGATCAAGAACAATTTTTTCATATTATAGATAAATGTACTGTAGCGAATACACAAAAATAAACAAAAAAAATAATGAAATAAAAACAGCAAAAAACTGCCATGACCTGCTTAAAAACAGCTAAAAAAAAAACTTAAAAGCATCTAAAGAGCTACCCTACAACACAGATAATTATGAAATTTCATTTTTATCTCTTTTTTTAGGATTTCTGCAGTGTTGTGTTTAAGCTGATATCTCTTCAGGTTCTAGCTCTAGGAGAAGCTTGGACCTTAGAACAACGTCTTCAGTCTGACAGTTTTAGTTCTAGCAATGTACAGATTGTACAACAAGAAAGGTTGGAAGCATAGTGCGGCAATGTATTTATAAACTTTCCTAAATGAAGAGGAGGGGGGGATATGAACTACAGTCTAGAGTACGGTCTTTAAATAATTTATCTATGAAGGGGAGGGGGGGATATGAACTACAGTCTAGAGTACGAATTCTAACCCAAAGGATATTTTTCAAATGGGAACGCGGACGAAATAACTAAAATATCATTGTTTGTTGCAAAAAATTTAATTTACAAACCTTGCAAATTCGAATTTTCAAAGATATGCTCCAGAGCAAACCGTTATTCAACATATGCCAAATGCCCCAAAGCAAAGCGTTCTTCAAATAAAATATATTTTTTATTATTATGATCTAAAAACTTCTTTCCATATATTTCTGATACCGCGAGTCAAAAGGATAGTCCTCTGTCTTAACCCCATTAGTTCAAAGTTAGAGTAAACTTTGTGATTTTGAACTTTTGATTAATTAATTTTCTGGTTTAAAATTAGACTTAACTGTTAAAAGGGATTAGAGTCTCAACGAGTCAATTATATGACAGCTTGGTCTCGAGACTAGTAAATTGGGCCTGGATTTAATGAGTTACGAGACAAGGTTGAACCGCGTAGACGTGGTTCAACCCCTTTCTCTTCAGAGTACGTTTCTTCCCAACACTACAATACTCGATCTGATCTCCGACATCTGTCGGCTAGAATTTTGTCCCCCAAAGTACGTCATTAGGACGGACCTTGTTCATACGTCGTTGGAAAGGAACGGCCTCAGCTTGAACTGGCGCACAAGATGAACTACGTCTGCTGGGTTCAGCTACTTTTCGCTGATCATTAAATATGCCGACAGTTTTCCCTGAATTATCTAAATTTAATATAATTTGTTTGAATTTTACAGAAAGAACGATATCTTGTATTCTTTAAACCTTATTCTGGGTTTAATTCAGAGCAAAGATGCTAATCCTGCATACAAGGTCAATATGACAAAACTTGATAAAATAAGAAATAAATTATTCAAAAATAAATGATCAGTTTTGAGTAAAAAACAATAATAATGATTTTAGTTAAAATGCAAAAATTTCAAAATCATTTTAACAATTAAAAGTCCAAGCATTGAAAATTTTTTTAAATGAAACCGTATTAAACTAAAAAAAGATAAATTATTTTTTTTTTAAATATAAAGAATTATTTTTAGGGTAAGTTCAAGCAGGCTCCCATCAACGTAAAAGTTGGATTTTTAGGTAATTTGACTAAAGGGACTGTAATTGTAATGTCATTTGACCCTCCATTTAAAGAAAGAAATGCATGATTCTCAACTGTATTTTTATAACCTTTATTCAATCCTTAATGTGGAAGATAAAGTCGAATACTAGCTTTAAAAGTGTATAGTTCTGAAAATTCCTATATTGTTTTCCTGGACTATAATTATTATGAAATACACAAAACACTTCTAAGTAAATAGTAGCCAAAATTGAAAATAATTTTTTTAAATTATGAACATGACTTCGAATTTACGCTTGATCAGACAAAGGTTTGAAGAGTACTGGTGTGAATCGGACATGCAATTCTAAAAATGGAGGTTCACTTCAAATTACGTTAACTGACCCTTTAAATCTATACAATACGATGATAAGCGATTGTATCACTACAATGAAGACGACTTTTTTATTTAAAATTTGATTGTTAACCAGCTTTTTTCAGATTACAAGCTTGTAATCAAAGAGAAGCTTTTTGAATTGATAAATTCTCTTGACTTCTATGTTTTTGTGTTTCCATGCCAACCAATATGGTGGTACGGTTTGATGAGAGCTTAACCCTGACTCCCAGTCCCATGGGATGATGGTTGACCATTTTATATATTTATTTATTACAGCTTAATTTACATCAAAATTGAATTCAAAAGTCGTCTTCATTGTATTGATAAAATCGCCTACCACTGCATGATTTTCTAATCCCTATATCTTTACAACCGGAAATATTAGCAAAATAGCAACGATCCATTAAGTTACAAAGACAACAGTGTTAAAGACAAGTCTTTAGTTCCAACTATAAATTCTAAAGTTTAAATAAAATATAAAATTAAATTGATTTTTTGTTTTCATCAGATATTAAACCGGTTGCAATGATTTTAATTTTAAATTGTGGGAACCTCGAGATCTTACAACTTTACAATTTCAATAAAATTAATAATTTTCATCAAATGTTAATTCTTCAAATACATTTTTGACAGGGTTAAGAGTTCTGATCACGTGCTACAGTGATTACCTGGCCGGAGAGTGGCACAGGATTGCTAGAACTATCAGGTTTATTTTTTCTTCTCAAGTTTCTCGCAATTGTTTAATCTTTTGTTTCACAAAGCACGCAGATATAACAGATCGGCCTGTATCCCACCAAGCTCTAACTTCTAATCAAAATTTGACCAATCAAACATACGTTTTTTGCTTTGGCTCTTTTATACTTTTTGTTCTACCCCTTTAAGAAATCAAGTAACGTTTAAAATTAGGTAATATCTGATATTAAAAAAAGAATTGGAAAGATTTTCTTTGCAATCTTGATATTTTGTTTAGATTTTACGGGTCTAGAAATGAGACGAATGTTGCACTTTGGAAACTATTGGATTATATTTCTTTACATAGAACTCCGCTTTACAATCTTCTTCTACCATTTATCAGGACCAGGGTATGTTTATTGTAGTTCTAGTACACGGATATTGTAGTACGTAGACATTATAGTACGCAGATATTGTAATACGCAGATATTGTAATACGCAGATATTGTAGTACGCAGATATTTTAGTACGCAGATATTTTAGTACGCAGATATTGTAGTACGCAGATATTGTAGTACGCAGATATTGTAGTACGCAGATATTGTAGTATGCAGATATTTTAGTACGCAGATATTGTAGTACATAGATATTGTAGTACATAAATTTTGTATTACGCAGATATTGTACCACGCAGATATTGTAGTACGCAGATATTGTAGTACGCAGATATTGTAGTACATAGATATTGTAGTACATAAATATTGTATTACGTAGATATTGTACCACGCAGATATTGTAGTACGCAGATATTGTAGTACGCAGATATTGTAGTACGCAGATATTGTAGTACATAGATATTGTACCATACATGAATATTTTTTATCTGGCAGTTGTTGTTCTTTACGCAGATACTGCTCTACGCAGATACTGCTCTACGCAGATATTGTACTTCAAGGATATACTGTACTGCGCGGTTATACTGTAAACAGAGTTTTGTTTTTGTACTCGTCTTTTATGTATTATTGTATGTATTCTGCAATGCACACGGATATATTGTGTTCAGAGACGATGTTTCTCTCAGGGACATATATATCTGTGTTAGGAACGTATTTCTCCATGTTCAGGAACATAAACCTCTGTGTTAAGGAACGTTTCTGAACGTGAATCTTTGTGTTCAGGAACGTGTATCTCTATGTTCATTAACTTATATCTCCGTATTCAAGAATATAAATTTCTGTGTGTATATATCTGTGTTTAGGGACGTGTATCTCCGTTTTTAAGAACGTATATCTTCGTATGTAAGAAGATACATATCTGTGTGTTCAGGAACGTGTATCTCCGTGTCCTGGAACCCAGATGAGTTCCCGTTTAACCAGTGAGGTCCAGCAGAGTAGGTCTCGTCTCCTTCTCTCTCTTCAAGCTGAAATAGAAGAACTCAGACAAGAAATCCTCAAGAAAAAATCAGGTCCTAAAAACACTGACAACAAATTTTAAAATGTTCCTAAAACTATTTAAACATTTCCATTATCTTCAATCTGCAACATTTGAAGACTTTAATCCCTTTTTTTACGTTTGCATGTTTGAAGGTTTAATAGTTTAAACTATTAAATTTATAGAGGTTTGGAGTATTAAATTTATAAAGGTTTGAAGGTTTAATAGTTTAAACTATGAAATTTATAAAGGTTTGGATTATTAAATTTATAAAGGTTTGAAGGTTTAATAGTTTAAACTATGAAATTTATAAAGGTTTGGATTATTAAATTCAAAAGGTTTGAAGGTTTAATAGTTCTAAGTATTAAATTTTTTAAGATTTGAAGGATAAAAGGTACCTAATTATATTTTTCATGAATTTCTGAAATGGTAAAGGGATACAGGGATAATCAGAAAACTCTGAAATAGCACGACGACTTTTAAAAGTCCAATGAGCATGAGACACAGCAATTGTGTGGATAAAACCGACCCCTTTCACTAATTTAGTGATTTAATGAAAATATTTGCTTGTAAAAACATCAAACACACTTAAGTATTGCTATAATGTCGTCTTCCTATTCCATTGTTTTCTTGTCATCACTTTATAAAACATGATACTATTATGAATTTAGTTGTACAAAGTAAGAAACAACAGAAATTGCAGTACACTTATTTGTAAACAAAGATTTAGGTTTCTGTTGCATCTTTCTTAAATGCCACTAATCAAAATAATTTTCAAGAAAAGCATCATAAAGGAATTTCTGCCACTCGTGAGTTCCGATGCGAATGGTTTCCATCCAATACTCAACTCAAGAAATTTTTAAAAACTGGTCTGATCATAATTATAAAATTATTTGTGCACAGTGCAACATCCCTATTTCCAAACAAGAAATAGTAAACCCTCCCTTTTGAAATTATAAAAGAGTTTGGTCTAGTTTAGTTTAGTATTAACTAAATTTATAGATCATCTGCTAGATGTGAATACTGCTCGACGCGGACAACGAACATCTTTTGTGGAATATGTTTCGGAAGTGTACAATAGGTGAATCAATAGTGAAAATAGGAACAAAAAATGCCAAAAATAGAATCAAAAACTCAATATGCGAAGCTTATATTTATTTTCTTTTGAAAAAAAAATCACAAATTTGACTAGTAAATAATCAAATAGCTTGAAAAAAGGGGTACACATGCGATTTTTCAAATTTTGAACATTTTTTGCCGCAAAATCTCAAGGAGGTGCGAAGGTCCTGCCGCCCCCCCTCCTGTATCCGCCCCTGGGTCACGGGTGTACATGTTTAAACGCTATGGCCATAAAAAAATCTCATTTCTTCAGTTACTTTTCATGCAAGCTTAACCTATATTACAATTTTGTTTAAACTTATGAAACTGAGCTTAAACTATATTGTTTTTATTTTATTTTTGAAAATCATATCTATATATTAAAGCTCTTCGCTTACATATGTATATAATAAATTCTTTGAGATAGCCCATGGGTACCCTGGGGGTAACAAAGGCTAAACAATTCTAAATTCTTTTTCTTCAAAAATAGATTTTTTTAAATCGGATTTTTTTATATTCAATTTTTTTTATTCTACGGAAAACGACTAGCACTTGAGCTAGTTATTAATTATTATGTTATAATAATAATTTTCCTTTCAAGAGCGTAGTCTAAGCAAGCCATCTTTTTTTATTATAACATCCATTTTTTGCTTTACATATTTTCATTTAGACATCATGGTCCTCATTCCTCGACCTCTACTCTGTCCTCAGGACAGAAGGACATAGGACGGGGTGATGTAACTACCTGGAGAAGTGTACGTCCTGCTAGCTCCGGGTCCCGCTACAAGTACACTGGTCAGTAGAACACCCAACCTAGATACGGGTTTAATTGTTTAATGGATATAGCTTAGTGTTAAACTAAACATAGCCTAAATTAATATATAAATCTGGAGAAAATCTAAAAAATTAAACTTCTTGTGAAAAATAGCTAACAAAGGGTTAAAGTAAATTTAATCCAAGGAAACAGTATTAAAGGGACTGTCAACGAAGTTTCAAGAGGTTCCCAATTAAAGAGTTGAATGCCCGATTCACAACGGTGTCTTTTACACACTTATCTTAGCAACTTAATTATTAAACTATGTTCGGAGGCGATTTATATAAATTTTCTTTCTTGTTCCTCCTGCATACAGTCGCAAGCCACTCTGACAGAGAAACCATGGATCAAGAATCATCGACTTTTTGCTCACTCAAAGTTGTTCATGGGTACCATTGTGAATTGGGCTTGAAATAACGTCACCAGTCTCTTTAATTTTACAATGAATAAATAATAATTATTCTCTAAATAACTGTGTGAATAAAAATGTATTGTACCGTGTCTGAGTGGAGTATATTATATATTAGAGGAACAATCTATGCCTGGGATCGAGATACAAGATATCTCCTTAGAAGAAAACACTCAACTATTTGAGAAACTAGTTCAAGGGTTTGGTAAGCTAGGTGTTGTCACCAAACTGTTGAACCATAAATCCCTCCCATGATATTCTTTCAAAATTGATCTTTTTTTGAGTTTCAGGGGAGCACTTATTTATTTTGTGCATCTCCATTTTATCTATAATAATAAGCTATTTAAGATCAATTATTGATTTGCACCGTCTCATGCTAGGATACTGAACCATAAACACCCTAGAATTCACAAGTTAATAAACAGTTTTGCATGCATCATGGACAAATCTCAGGACCAACCTAGATTAATCCTGACAAAACCGGATTGGTCCAATTATACCGGATTAATCCAGATAAAACCGGATTAATCCAGATAAAACCGGATTAATTTAGATAAAACCGTATTAATCCAGATACACCCAAATAAAGCCTGATAAAACCAGATAAACCCAAAATTAATTTATATAAAATCGGATTAATCCAGATGAAACCGGATTAATTCATAAAACAGATTAATTCAGATAATCCGGAATCCGGATAAACAAGTTTTTAAGATTTTTTTTAAATTCCGCATTGCCCCGGAATAATGTTAAGATGTTGTTTGCATGTACCAGCACTAAACAAACGCAATTTTATAATAAATATTGTTATTATACATATAAATATAAACATAGTGTAGTGGGAAGGTTGGAATGGGTCCATGTATGATGTATTATTATTATCCAAACATCGTATTTCAAGATGTTAACAACGAGGTGCGGATGGTGTCTACAATTTTTTTATCTATAATTGTATGATTTATAAATATATTCCTTTTTATATTTATGTATTAATATTTAAAGGGACTGTAAGCGTAATTTCCATTGACTCTTCATGGTAAGATGCAATGTCCGACTTACAACTGCACCCTTGAAATCTTTATCTGATTAATTTTGTGGAAAAAATGTCGTTTTTCAAGGATTAAAGTGTTTAATTCTAATATTTCCTATATGTTTTTCTGCAGTATAAATACGCAAGTCGCTTTTGCAGAGAACCTTCAATAGAAAAAAAATCAGTTATTAAAATCTAATGACAAAGCTTTTAAGGTAATCATTGTGAATCGGGCATTGCCATCTTTGCATTTAGGGTCACATGAAATTAAGCCAGCATTCCCTTTTATATTGTATCTGCTAAAAGAATAAAATTACCAAAAGTATTTTAAAATCACTCACATTTTGTTCAAAATATAGAACAACATATCATTTTGAGAGTTATTTTTAACATTCTTTTCATAATTCGATATTATACGACCCATAGATACTCTGTTCTCTGTAATGCATTTAAACACTCACTATTTTTGTTTTACAAAATCCCATTTTTTGGATATTCAAGTTGAACCCCCTAGTTCGCATTTCCAGCTTATTTTTCTGCACACACTGTTAAATATTTTTAAAAGGAACATTTTTGTTAACTTATATAATTATATTATATATCATTATTATTAGCATGGTGCGGTAAAACCGTAAAAATGTGTTAGCTATTCAATTTTGAACCATTTTTTAAAAATAAAAAGTTCATGGATTTTTAAAAATTTGAGTATTTTCATCGATAAACCTTTTTTCTAGAAAAATGTTTAAAAATTTTAATGTTAAACTTTCGCAAATATTTTTCTTCTCCTGTTTTTCTAAGCAATTTTAAACGGGAAAAAAAGTAAAATTTAAAATCTTACCAAGACTCATGGCGAGAAATTTTCAAAGATGAAATATATTTTTTCCATCCATAGCAAAGAAAAACTTTTGAAATAGGATTCCGGCATTGCACGTAGCAAAATGCAAAGCAGAAGATAGAAATAAACATATAAAAGATGACGACTTTGATATATAATTTTTGAAAATTAATGTTTTTTATCTGCTCACTAAACCCCAACCTCACCTTTGCTTAAACTCCTTTAACCAACCCTTTAGCTGTCACCAGGTCCAAGAGGAAAATTATAAGACTAAACGATAAATTCACCCTGTACCCATCAAAAATTATTTTAAAAGAAAGATTTTGTAAAAAATATTTTTATTTTTAGATAACTTTCATATAATGTTCCCGGGCCCAAAGTATATAGCACCGTACGGTGACAAACTATTTAAAATGTTCCAGGGCCCAAGATGTTATATAGCACCGTACGGTCACAACCTATTTTAAATTTTCCCAGGGCCCAAGGGCTAAGAGGTTATATAGCACCCTACGGTCACAACCATATTTGAAATGTTCCAGGGCCAAAGAGGTTATATAGCACCATACGGTCACAACCTATTTTAAATGTTCCCAAGGGCCAAGAGGTTATGTAGCACCGTACGGTCACAATCATATTTGAAATGTTCCAGGGCCCAAGAGGTTACATAGCACCGTACGGTCACCACTTATTTTAAATGTTCCAGGGCCCAAGAGGTTATATAGCACCTTACGGTCACAACCTATTGGAAATGTTCCAGGGCCCAAGAGGTTATATAGCACCGTACGGTCATAAACTATTTGAAATGTTCCAGGGCTCAAGAGGTTATATAGCACCGTACGGTCATAAACTATTTGTAATGTTCCAGGGCTCAAGAGGTTATATAGCACCGTACGGTCAAACCTATTTGAAAATCACTTTAGATTAGTAACACAACTAACCCAATATTACGACTAAATGAATCCAAAAAGATTGGGTATTTGTGTTCGTATTTAAAATACTAGGCATTTAGGGCGCTTCGCGCTCAAAAACTATTTTAGACAATAAAAAAGATCCCGGATTTAATAATTGTTTTATGGACGTTCGAAAATTTACGAAAATCAAAAAGTTTTGGAGACAATTTTTGTAATCCTGAGAATCCATAAACCTTACCTCGGGTCAAGTGAGGTCACACAAAAAATTTGGCCTAATCGGTTCTGCCGTTTTGACGTCTATCGGATATACACAAACAGACAAGCAAAGATAGATATAGATTTTGGGCAATATGTATATTATAACACAACTAACCCAATATTACGACTAAAGTAATCTCTTCAAGACCAAAAAGATTGGGTATTTGTGTTCGTATTTAAAATACTAGGCATTTAGGTCGCTTCGCGCTCATAAACTATTTTAAACAATAAAAAAGATCCCGGATTTAATAATTGTTTCATGGACTTTCGAAATTTTACGAAATCAAAAAGTTTTTGAGACAATTTTTTGTAATTTTGAGCATCCATAAACCTTCCCTGGGGTCAAGTGAGGTCACACAAAAAATTTGGCCTGATCGGTTCAGCCGTTTTGACGTTTATCGGATATACACAAACAGACAAGCAAAGATAGATATAGATTTTGGGCAATATGTATATTTTTAGATAGGAATACAATCTATTTAAGAACAGCCCGTGGCACTGCAACCCTGCCCCCTCCCTTAAAGCACTACGCTTCTCCTAATAAAAGCATGGGAATTAAGGAATAAATCAGTTACCAACAAGTGCAGGCGGCGGAATTTTGGTTCGGGAATAAAAAAAAGTATTTATGATTTGAATTCCCATTCCTACACTGGTCCTCCCGAGATGACGGATCGGTTATAGTACTAGATAGAGATAAATAATATCCCTTTCACTTAAATGATTAATTTTGCACAAGGAAAAAGAACACGTTCAAGACTTTTTTGCACATTTGTTCTTGCATTTATAAAATTGCAGCACTGTTTTGCATGAGCTTGATTTTTTTAAGGATTTTTAATAAAGTTTTTCTCAACTTGTTTAGGTTTTCGTCGAAAGAACGTTGGCCGACGAACCAGCTATGCGGGTGAAACTGTTGATCCAGATATTAACGGTATATTTGTAATTAAACTGAGCTTAAAACTTTAGAATGGGATATCCCTAATCCCGATCCATTAATTAATCTGGAGATTAATAACAAGAGGAGAACAACCAATATTTAATCTGGAGATTAAGAAAAAAGAGGAGATCAAGCATTGATCTCAATATCCACCATTCTAAAGTTTTCAGCTCAGATTATTTGTCTCAAACTCTGATTTTCTAATCATTGTAACTTTCTAGTTCTCATGTCGAAATAGTCTTATGAGTTATTTATACAAGACTTGCTGAAGTAAAAAAATAATTATTTTTGAAAAATTCTTTTTTAGCCTACGTACCCCAGGGTCTGGGTACCCATGGGGTTCCTCAAAAAATGTCAGCCCATTTTGTCCAGCCATTTGGCCATCCATAGCTGGCATACAAACAAATATATATTTATATTTGAGCGAAGAGCTTGATTATATAGAACATAGTCAAAGTTTGAAAGAACAACGGTTCTATGTTGCAAAAATACACAAAGTAGAAAATTAAAGTCAAAGGCTATACCTATACCTATACCTCAAAGTTTGAAAGAACAACGGTTCTATGTTGCAAAAATACACAAAGTAGAAAATTAAAGTCAAAGGCGAGTTATCATTATTTATTTTTTAAGATCTAATTTTCTAATGTTCTTGGTTTTTAAACATGAATTAATTTGAAAGTATCTTCAGTTTTTAGAAAAAGCACATGTTTTATTAAAAGCATAAAACTCAAGGTCGATGTACTCTTATAATTCACTCGTTTCAAAACTTTAATCCTCGGTATTTACCTTTGACATCTATTTTAGACGTCAAGATAAATGCAACCTCGACCTCTGAACCTCGACTCTTCAGAAAAGGGACTGTTCTTAGAAATAGAAACAGATATAATCCAACCTCAGGTGGCAGAATTCAAAGAAATAATTATGTTTTTGTTTTCAAATATGATTATGTCAACAGAGTCAGGGGCGTATTCAGGGGGTGCTATGGGGGCTAAGCCCCCCTGGACCAGTGAAATCGATTAATTTCAGGGTTTTTCAGGCCCCATCGGGTGCTGAGCCCCCCCCCTGGAAAGATAAAAAATAAGCCCCCCCTGGACAAATTCCTGAATACGCCCCTGAACAGAGTCTAAAAAATACTGATTATGTAATGTCTCACATAGGTCTCTTACTATTTAATGTTTGAAAAAAAAACCGAAGATGGTGCCTACTAGGGGGTGGACTGACCCATACAGAGTCGGGCAATTTCACTGAATACGTTGATTTTTAAAACTATTGATAAAGCTTCATAACAACATCGAAAGCCCAAAAGAATACATGGCCGTCTTCCTATTCTTATTTTGTTGGGCCCCTTTGTATGTATTTCCAAATCTTCTATCTATCTAGTCTGTGAGAATCCTGGAGGGTCTAATCCCAGTGGAGATAAGGAGGTCCAAGGGGCCCCAGGAGCTGCAGGGGGTGCAGCAGGTGCAGCAGGTGCAGGAGGAGGAGGAGGGCAGGAGGCTGAGGAGGGAAATACAGAGGATGGGATGACTAGGAGGCTGCAGAGGATGAAGGTACGCAGATTTTACTTCATTGACGCAGACGCATGCCNTACCTATACCTATACCTATACCTATACCTATACCTATACCTATACCTATACCTATACCTATACCTATACCTATACCTATACCTATACCTATACCTATACCCATACCCATACCTATACCTATACCTATACCTATACCTATACCTATACCTATACCTATACCTATACCTATATTTCATACAGGGTTTCCCACAAAGGATGAGACATTAGGAGGATTGACAGAATTTGTACAGTCCTTTTCCTTACATTTGGAATTCCCTGTGACTGTAAACTTGTTTCTTTCTTCGCCAAATCAGTATATTAACCCTTAAAATAATACACTTTTAGGCAAAAGACTTAATTTAACCTTGGGATATTTTAGCTTTTTGGAAATCTTGAAATTTAAAAAAAAGTCCCCTTTTCTGCTAAAATCGGAAAACTTGATCCATGTTACAAGTTTACCTTGATGAATCTAATTTCAATTTTCACAAATAAATGGATCAGAATGAAGTAAAAGACCAGAGGATATGATCAAAAACTAAAACAAGTAAATTATTTTTAAGAGATATCTAAATATAAAGATATGTGAAATATATATAAGACAGAGGACCATTAAAAAATATCAAAGACTACAGTGAAATCCCTAACATTTAAGAAGGATAATCAAAGAGTATAAGTACATAGAAATAGATCTTATTTCTTTGTAGATTTCAAGACTTGATGTGTTTGTTTTTTCAACACAATTTTTTATATGATTTCAAGAGCTAAGGAGCAATAGCCTGCCATGTGACACTGATGTGGTTAGCTTTAGGACAAATATACAAAATGAAACTGCATAATTTCGATACAAATTATTTTAATTACATTTCAATTTTTAGAGTTATTCACGGGATGATTTCTAAAAACATCATACCTATACCTATACCTATACCTATACCTATACCTATACATATACCCAAATAGATTATCAAGTACAATAGTTGGCAACAGAGAAATTAACCATTATACACGACGTCACAAGTGTCAAATATAACAAGGAAAGCGAAATTTTGTCAAATTAGTTGACATGTTTTCCAAGATTAAACAAAAAAGTGTAAAAACAGAAACTAAAGAACACATAAAATTGCACTTATATTACTGTAAGAAAAGCACTTTATTCTAAAATTATCACTATTATTAATGATTTTGTCGGACACAAAAACTGAATTGACCATGGGTACTGGAATAGGGTATCGCATTGAGGCCCGCGCACAAATGAAAGGTCGATACGGTACGGGGTGACGTCTGACGTCACTGATTAAAACTATTGGTGGAAAATTCTCAGTCCGCCAATGAAATGCCAATCACAAGTATGCGTATACTCGCCTACAACAGATCTTATCCCAAGACAGTTCTAGGACCAGTGTCCACTTTGTGCCCTGTACCGGGTTATGACGTAAGATAGCACTAAATCTAGAATTGTATGACTACCTTACCCTATTCCAGTACCCATGGAATTGACACTGGTGACGACAGAATACAACTGTACTGAGAGTGTACAAATTCTAGGTTGCCATCTATTGTACTTGAATCTATTTGCATATACCTATAACTGTACCTACAATACAACGATACGATTGTTTGAAAACAATTTCGCTAATGAAACTGAATTTTATGAAAATTTATTTAAATTTTTTCCAGGAAGATAAGTTTATGAATGTTGTCTTAAATGTTTGTTTTATCGATAAAAATAACTTTTAATGTTGTTCTAATCCGCGAAATTTTATCACAATGAAAAATGAGTTGAAAACTTTTGTGTTGGATATCCACAGAAAGACATTATCCCTTAATATCCAGTTTAAATATTGCTTGTTCTCCACATGAATTTAAACTCCAGATTAATTATTCGACGGGATATCTGGATATTTCATTCTAAAGTTTTCAGCTATGGCTACTTAAAAAGCATTATTCGAATGCTAAATCTGTTATTAGAAAAAGGGGCGTGCCGCGGGCCCTTAATTTCTTTACAAACTTAAAGATTTTGAATTTTGATTTAACTATCATACAATAAAGTTAAAGGTTCTAAATTGTAAGACTAACCTAACATTCTCTTAATTAAAACTTAAAAACTGAAACAAATGTGTCACTTTAGGCGAGCTAAGCAAGGAAAGAAGATTTCGAATCAGAACCAGGACATTTGTCTTGATGAAGATAGCATCAGTTCTACAATGACATCTAGTACTCTAGGATACAGGTAGATCATATGTATCCAGTACTCTAGAATACAGGTAGATCCTATATATCCAGTACTTTAGAATACTGGTAGATTATATAAATCTATTACTCTAGGATACAGGTAGATCATATATATCTAGTACTTTAGGATACAGGTAAATTATATATCATAGTACTCTAGGATACAGGTAGATTATATATCTAGTACTCTAAGATACAGGTAGATTATATATCTAGTGCTCTAGGATACAGATGCGTCATATACATCCAATACTCTAGGATACAGGAAGATTAAATATCCAGTACTCTAGGATACAAACGTTGATCTTCAAGATCTAGTAGTCTGGGATACAGCCAGATCATAAAAATCTAGTACTTAAGGATACAGCTAGATCTTATATATCCAGTACTCTCGGATACAGGTAGATCATATATATCCAGTACTCTCGGATACAGGTAGATTATATATATCCAGTACTTAAGGATACAGGTAGATCATATATATATCCAGTACTCAAGGATACAGGTAGATTACATATATCCAGTACTCAAGGATACAGGTGGATCATATATATCCAGTACTCAAGGATACAGGTAGATCATATATATCCAGTACTCAAGAATACAGGTAGCTCATATATGTATTTAGTACTCTAGGATACAGATTGATTATACATATATTTAGTACTCTAGGATACAGGTTGCTCATATATATATTTAGTACTCTAGGATACAGGTTGATTATATATATATTTAGTACTCTAGGATACAGGTTGATTATATATATATATTTAGTACTCTAGGATATAGGTAGATCATATATATATTTAGTACTCTAGGATACAGGTAGATCATATATATATTTAGTACTCTAGGATACAGGTAGCTCATATATATATTTAGTACTCTAGGATACAGGTTGATTATATATATATCCAGTACTATAGGATACAGGTAGCTCATATATATATTTAGTACTCAAGGATACAGGTAGCTCATATATATATTCACTACTCTAGGATGCAGGCAGCTCATATATATATACAGTACTTTAGGATACAGGTAGCTCATATATATATTTAGTACTCTAGGATACAGGTAGCTCATAAATATATACAGTATTCTAGGATACAGGTAGCTCATATATATTTAGTACTCTAGGATACAGGTTGATTATATATATATATATATATTTAGTACTCTGTGATACAGGTAGCTCATATATATATTTAGTACTCTAGGATACAGGTTGCTCATATATATCCAGTACTTTAGGATTCAGGTAGCTCATATATATATTTAGTACTCTAGGATACTGGTAGCTCATATATATATATATATTCAGTACTCTAGGATACAGGTAGCTCATATATATATTTAGTACTCAAGATACAGGTAGCTCATATATATATTCAGTACTCTAGGATACAGGTAGCTCATAGATATATTTAGTACTCTAGGATACAGGTAGCTCATATATATCCAGTACTTTAGGATACAGGTAGCTCATATATATCCAGTACTTTAGGATACAGGTAGCTCATATATATATATATTTAGTACTCTAGGATTCTGGTAGCTCATATATATATTCAGTACTCTAGGCTACAGGTAGCTCATATATATCCAGTACTTTAGGATACAAGTAGCTCATATATATATATATTTAGTACTCTAGGATACTGGTAGCTCATATATATATTCAGTACTCTAGGATACAGGTAGCTCATATGTATATTTAGTACTCTAGGATACAGGTAGCTCATATATATATTTAGTACTCTAGGATACTGGTAGCTCATATATATATTCAGTACTCTAGGATACAGGTAGCTCATATATATATTTAGTACTCAAGGATACAGGGAGCTCATATATATCCATTACTCTGGGAAGCAGAGGTTAAATGTGCTTAGAAAATTTACTTGTTTCTTTTTTAAATTGTAAATCTAAGCGATATTTTCACTGAAAAGCATAAGAAAGAAGAGGCCAATAATTTCACTGTTTCAGGGACAGTTTTGGAGAAAATGACGACAGTTGCTTTGATTTGTTGGAACGGTATGATAACAGCTCAGCTATTCTGCAATTACTGCAGAGTAGGCGTAGAGAGAATAGAATTGAAGAAGACATTCAACAGGTTAAATAAAATAAAAACTTGACTTCCAAAAAAACGTGCTCTTATTGACCGGGGGGGGGGGGCCCCCATTTTAACGTCAAAACACACTGTGCAGAGTTACCCACAAAGAATAAGACTTCAGAGCCCGAAATTTAAAAGAGTATTGTTCAACGAACCTCCCAAGTTTCCTTTTTGGGGTCTAATATTTGTGTAGATTTTGATTTGAGAGATTCAAAAAAACAATGGAGAATATGAAGAAACTAAACAAAATAATATTCTTAACAAAAATATTGATATCCACAAAACTGCCTAACCCCATTGGTGAAAGCCGGGTTTTAAAACTGGTTTTCATAACGATACCCTGTCTTAAGTTTTGGGCTCAGAGAAGACTGTACAGACTTTATACTGATTTTTTATACCGAGTTTTGGTTCCATCATCCACGCAACTGGAAACTTGTTTTATTGCTGAAAAATCATTGAGCAGAACATTTAAGAATATTTTTAGTTCAAAGAAAACCTTCTATTTGTTATATTTCATAGAATTTTGATCGACATTAAAGTCTCGTCATTTGTGGGTAACCCTATATCTGTACTGAACACACTAGACAACTAGGAAACTCAAATGTTTTATTAATATTGAAGTTGTCTCCTTTAAATCATTAAATAATTTCTTCTTTATAAAGTGATGTTCTAAATAATATTAATTAATATTAATTAATTGAATACTTCAAGTCCTCTTTAACCATAGAAATAGTTTGCGGCATTTATGTTGTCAAACCTAGTTCTTAAAATATTTTTCATGAAACTATATAATCACAAAAAAAAGCCCAGAATCAAAAGAATTAACTTAATCCGTTGGAGAAAAGAATCGGGTTAGTTGTTGCTTAATGGATTCACGATCCTAAAGTTTAGTTCTTGAATGTTATTTTTATCTGTTAAGGAGGAGGATGGCGATGAAGGACATGCTCAACATGAATCAAGAGATCAAAATACTTTTATCTAAATCTAAATTCACAAAATTACAATCCTAAAGAAAAATGTGCAGAACAGAATGAGGAACTTTTTTCAGTTTGAAACAAAAAGAATGTAAAGAAATCAATGAAAGAATTTTGCAGTGTTTTTTATTGAACTTGAGACGAATAACTCAACTGAAGTAAAATATAATTTATCAACTTTAGTTCCCTGTTTATTGCCGAACTGAAGCAAAAATGGTAAACGCAAGGAACTGTAATATTAAAAGGAACTGTAATATTAAAAGGAACTGTAATATTTAAAGGAACTGTAAAATTAAAAGGAACTGTTATATTAAAAGGAACTGTAAGCTTAATTAAAAGTAACCCTCTATGCAAGATGGCAACAGTACCTTTAAGAGCCTTATCTGATAAAGCATTAGATATCAATGTTTATAAGTTTGAAAACAGATTATTTTCAATTGTGGTTTCTGTACACTATTGATTTACCAGAATTAAGCACTTTCAAGCCTAGAAAAACTACAATGTTTTCCTCATCAGCAATATGCCAAAGGTTTTAGGGGTACCGTTGTGAATCGGGTATGACCATCTTTCCTGGGAGGGTCACTAGAAATTACGCTTATAGTCCCTTTAATCATCCAAATTGATTATTTCTTGAAATTTGAAATGTTAAACTATGATAATGCTGAATTATTATTAAAGTGAAAAGTGTAAATTAGTTTTTGATTAAGGTCTCCTTTAAATGATTTATGTACCGTAATTCTTTGCTTTGAATTAGAAGAGTTTAAAAACAGTAAATAGACTTTACAAAGGCGACCTTTATTGATAAGCATGGTATAACATCAATAGTGGGCTCTCTCATAAAGTATTTTCTTTATAGTTTTCTGTTCTAGCCGCGGCGCTGTAATCATCTGGAAAATATGTTTAGAGAAGTCTGTATATTGATGAATCCTATATCCCGGCCAGTATAATGCTATATAGAGCTGATACTTACCTGTTACGAGCTTAGGACAGACTAAAGCTAGCTTAAAGCGACTGTCGACGTGATTTCACGTGACCTTTTCATTGGAAAGGCCCGATTCACAATTTAGTACTTCGCAATCCATGTTTTGAAGTTCTTTGTTTTTTTTTGTCTAAAATTAATCGGGTTTGTTGAAGTTACTTGGAGATTTATTTGATAGTGAGCAACCGTTGTAAATCTGACATGTTCTGTGTTGGCTGTAAAATTAGGTCGACAGTCCCTTTTATTATTGAATCAAAGTTTTAAATTGTTAAAAGACGACATTTGTTAAATATATGTCAATTATTTACTGGTTTGTTAATGTTGCTGAAATAATGAAATGAAATGTGATAATGCATTGTTCAGATAAAGTTTATATCATATAATATATTTGTTGGATTTATTGTTTATATTGAATATTAAGTATATTGTATTTAAATTAAAAAATGCTTTAGAAAATGTTGGTGAAAAATTGCTTAAAAAGTTAGCAGTTCGAACTTTTTGAACAAAATATTAGGAATACCTCACACATTTATCAGATTCCTATCTTCATAATTTAAGATAAATTTAGCTTGATATTAGACTTATTATACCTGTTATATGTTTATTATGTAGTGATGAATATATGTTTATTATGTAGTGATGAATATATGCTTATTATGTAGTAATGAATTTATGTTTATTATGTAGTGATGAATATATGTTTATTATGTAGTAATGAATATATGTTTATTATGTAGT